ACCAGAGTGATGGTATGGCTGTACTCTATGTGTTCGTGGTGCTTATCGTCCTGCTGGTGGGCTACATTGTAATGTAATAATGGAGTTTCTTGACTCTAGTGATATGAAAAACATACTTCACGACTACTGCATATCACCGCGAATGTCGCGTTTTTCACCGAGTTTTACGACGCCACTTCACGTAAAAACGACTGAAACTCCAATCATATCAGTGTGGTTGGTATTGGAAAAAATACACGTTTTAGTGACGTTTTACGCCATTTCTCTGATATTCAGTGTGGGGGAAAAATATGCACTACATGTGGTGTTGGTGAGAATATGAAAATTGTGGAGAAATTGTTATTGAACTCTGGAGTTTCACCCGTTTTACGGGGAATGGCGTAAAACTCGGTGAAAAACTTTGCGAAATTTGCGGTGATATGCAGTAATCGTGAAATATGTTTTTCATATCACTAGGGTGAAACTCCTCCGTACACTCCGATTCCTAATCTCTATAATTAGTGAGCAACCTCCTGAGCTCAGCTGAGGGAAGCGAACATATATTTCTCCAACACTGATGCTCTAGCGGTGGAATTAATCTCTTTAATTATGAAAATTAAGTGCTTTTACAGACCGCGTCACTAAAATATGCACTGATGTAAACCCAAGCGCGAAATTAATGTCCTTACTCGTGTTTGTATCAGTCGAATGGACTTCATTATGTTTTAGATACTTCCTGTTGGAACTGTTGATCACCCTATGCTTAGCTATGAAGCACTCACGGAGACGAAGAAGGCAGCGAGCAGTTGAGGGGTCACAGGCTTCGACACCTGGTAAGAGAATTGGGGGGGGGGCTCATCATGTATTTGATCTTGGGATGAAGTTGTTGATATCTCCAATGTTTATAAATATAAATATGAAATATATACAAATATGTAGTTATGGATATACAAGAATGGAGCTTCACTTGTTTTACGTCAAATGGCGTAGTACTCCATGTGAAGAACGCGATGTGAAGTGAAAAACACTTGGCGAATTACACCGGACAAGTCCTCCCGTATCGTGTGAAACACATACCACGTGTTTTACGCGTTATTCACTGCTAACGCGCCTTTTCGCGAAGTGAAGTTTGAAGTACGTTTTTCATATCACGGGTGAAACTCCAATATAAGATAATGGAGTTTCTTGACCCTAGTGATATGAAAAACATATTTCACGACTGCTGCATATCACCGCGAATATAGCGTTTTTCGCGGAGTATTACGATGCCACTTCACGTAAAACGGGTGAAACTCCAATATAATAACACATGTAAATAGTATCTGAGGCACGGCATGATGATAGCCGCTATGAAAGTTCATAAGAACAAATCCTGACACACTCCGCAAGACTAGAATACTTTCAATTGAATAAGTATTAAGAGTGATATACAGTACGTATCAATTTGATATGCAAATGCGTGTTATTTTAGGGGACAAATTATAGTGAACAACTTGTCGCTATCAGAGTCCCAAACGGGTGCTTTCATCACAACACATGCTCATAACCATCGTTACATTAGATATGCGATAAAGCTTCTGATCGATTCTCATTAACCTCGAGAAATACCGCACATTTGCATACCAAATTTACACGCACTGTAAAAGTTCGTGAGTGATTGTCGAGAAACAGTTGAAGCGAGTAGAGAATACCAGCAGCATTTATGCCTGCTTTTGAGCTTCCTCTGAAAGCTCTCAATGCGAATAGGATCCTCCCATCTCGGATGCGTCCCGACGAAATTGATGGTCTCAAAAAGGAACTTGATCTTTGCAAGGTTTTTTCTATATAACGAAATACAATACCACTCCATCACCAAATCAGAGCAGAACGAGGCCTCCTTGAGTCGTACTATTGTATGTTAGATATCCCCATGGCAGAGGGGAGGGAGCCTAAGCCTACTTATGCCCTTCGCTATCGACGTCGTATGTCACAGCCGCCCTCCAGCACCAAGCTGTGCTTGTTGAGGTTTGTTGGACATGTCATTGCAAGTAGGGACAACAGTGTAGGGGGAAATATGCACATGGTCGCTCACATGTGGGAAATTTTTCGGAGTTTCTTTTTGTTTTTGTACATTTCGTGTAGAAACTTTGATAGTTAGTGAGGGAACTCTTGAGCTCAGCTGAGGAAAGCAAAGATACAGTACGTGTTAGTTTGATATGCAAGTGTGTGTTATTTTAGAGGATAAATTTTAGTGAACAAGTTGTCGCTATCACAGTCCCAAACGGGTACTTTCATCACAACACATGTTCATAACCATCGTTACATTAGATATGCGATATAGTTTCGCATTGATTCTCATTAACCTCGTTCGAAATAACGCACATTCGCGTATCAAATTGACACGCACTGTATATTCCTCCAACGCTGAGGTACGATGGCCTTCATAACGATACAGGCATGTACGTTTCTCATCTACGGTGAATACCCCGGTGTTACACTAAAGCCTCCGCGCGAGAAAGTGGTTGCTGAGCTTTATATGTGGCTGGTGGTGAGTAACAGGGCATGATAATTTCGTGGCGCGTGACGGTTTCACTGCAGGTGAGTTGCTCAGCAGCGTCAGTGTTGGTCGTCAATGTGATTGCTGCGAACCAATCTGCGAAGCACTTCTTGACACGGGGCACTTGGCCCGGGGAAATTTGTTTCGATGCAGTGCACAAGTAATAGAGTTTTGAAATATGTATTGTGGGAAATTCATAATAGGAGTTCCAATTGTCGTTATTATGATGAACTTATGAAAGCTCTGAAGGAGTGATGGTTGCTCCTAGAGTGATAGGAAGACCATAGGGGAGAAGTTGCCATTGAAGGGGTGACCAGCAGCCACTGCTCTTATTATGGTCACTATGAAGTGATTCCAAACTTTCCGTTCAAGGGCAACCTTGCTAGATACTGCATGGTCTAGACCTGCAGTGGAGTTGATCCACTCATCAGTGATGAATAGATCAACTCCACTGCAGAAATGTTGCGGAGCGAGCGGAGCATATACCACAACAGCAGGCACTTTCGCATTGTGCGTACGTGCGTGCAGAATTATTCTAGCTTAACCGGGGACCTAGGTCAAATTCATTGATATAATCAATAGACGTGGACTAAGTGAACTCCGCCCCTTCGTCACGAAGACCTAGTGATGAGTCGTCACATTTCTTTGGGGACTACCGAGCAATAGGGAGTCAGCGGTGGTTACTACTAGTGATAGGAGTATTCAGTGATACTATGGAATAGGGGTGAATTCTGCGCCTAATGACGCCGATGCTTTCTTTCCCTTCGGGCCCGGCATCACCTCCATCCTTGTGATCTCAATAATCGGTCTTTGTCGATGCTTCCTATGATAACGACTGATCGGTACTTCGCCTTTACACGGGTGCTAGTAGTTTGTTGAATACTTATAATGACAACTTTGGGGAAGAGGAACTATACGTAGTGAAGTAGAACCTAGGAGAAAATACAGATGTCGCGAATACTATGTGTTATTGCCTCGAGACTGTTTCCCAGTGAGGGATGGCTGATTAGAGAGATCTTGGCGAGCACTTTGCAATGGTAATTCCAAAAATGCTTTGGCCCTACCGTGCTATGCATAATTAGGTTACCCAAAATCGCTCAAAATCCGTGCGAAAAAGTTGAGGCCGAACTTTTCATGGTAAATGAACGCGATATGGCACCAAGCATGTTTGGAATTCAAAGATACCATTGAAAAGTGCTCGCCAAAATCTTCCTAATGAGCTATCTCTCAGTGGGAAATTCTGCATGTTACAGGCAATAGCGCATTGTATTTGGGGCACTCTGTAGTATACCAAAAAATACGAACATTAGGAATATCTATCGCATCGATGGTGTTGTTATCGATCACTTCAATGTATTCAGATTTATTCACTTGTGTTTGGCTTGGTCGCTGCTCCTGGCGAGTTATTGGTTGTTGGCTCAGCTTTACGACCCAGGCACGTCGGAGTCTGTGTGGGCCTTGACGAATTCGATTGTATACTCTATAGCATCGATAGTGGCTTTGTGGGTGCTATCAGAAGCTGAGCTCAGGTGCGTAGTTTATGTGGTCGTGATGAAATTCGTGAATCTACTGGGGGTGTCAAGTTGTTTATATTCTCGTGGCGAGCAGAGGGGAAGTCTCGGAATCATTAAGTAGGACTACGGTGTTTGATACCAACTTGATATGCAAATGCGATGGTTTCTAACCTCGGGAAAAACGCTTATTTTTTACGTTTGCACGCACTATTCAGGTTAGTGGTAGTAGTAGGAGTGAGTGAATGTAGGTTCCATGTAGCACCTATGATTATCGAAGGATTTGTATGGGCTACATCCCTACTCATTGGGTACTCTTGGAAGCTTGTATTCACAGAAGCTCAGAATGCTGTGATGGACACAGATAGATGGTGAGTGCTTGGTTTGCCAACTACAAATGCTGATAGCGCCTCTTGACCACTTCGATGATTTATACAAGCCTTTTATCGCGTCGTACAAAATTGTGAAGAATCGTTCGCCTTTGTGAGGATGAGAATTGGAACACCAACAAGTGGTAGGTGCTTCCTTGTGGACATTTGATGCATTCAACGTGGTGCATGCTACGATTTGCTATGGACTTCCGTGAGAAGTGAAAATGCTCGTACCATGGAGTTGACTAAACCAAGTACAGATGCATGCGATTTGGCATCAAAAGTTTACACTTGACATAAAGTGTTGAAGGCGGACTGTATTCACGTTCGTTCGGCTTGCAGAGCCGGAAAGGTGTTTTTACCATTTTCAGGGGTCTTCGGATACTCACAAGTGCCATGAATTTCGGCTTGATGGTACCGGTTTACTTCCGCTACATCCTTCCCAAGATGGATCCACAGAGCCCTTTGATCGATCAAGATACGCAAACCACCGAGTGGAAAATCTTCCGAGCGCACAGTGCCCTTTGGTGAACGATCGCATTTCGAATAATTTTCTTATTTTTCTGGAAAACCATTTTGTAGAATATGTGACTCTATCAATACGTTTCTAAGTGTTTCGAGCCGGCCGGTATTGAGTTGTCAACAATCGATCAATCGGGCGCGCGCGTAGTGCATTGGATTATTCTTGTGATGCTTGGCAATCAGCCAGTAGTGATCGACAATGGCAGCGGGTGTATTAAGGCTGGATTTTCGGGGGAGAATTCACCCCAGGTGGCAAAGATTCATTTCGTGCCCCCAGTGACATGCACGGATTAGGTCCAAATACTCTCAGCTGTGGGCTACCCTAAGTACCGTAAAGTGATGGAGGGTGTTGAGGGGCCATCGGAAGTGACCAAGCCGACTAAGGGCAGCAAAATTGGCGGTTCTGTTGGGAATAAGGTGAGCCTTATAATCTTGCATAGTTGACGTACCCGAGCAGGTGGTGGCAGTAGTAGGAAGTCGACTCGAGACCAGTTCCCGAGGGTTGTTGGATATACAGTATCCTATTACGCATGGCAGTGTTACTGATTGGGAGGGCATGGAACACATATGGCGACATGTGTTCAGTGAAGGGCTAAAGTGCAGGTCTCAGGAGCATCCGGTAGAGCTTTGGTTTATGCAACTATTACAGCTACAAAAGAATTGCTGCTGGCGTGGTAGGTACTGATAAGCGAGCCGCCGTTGAATCCCATGATTCACCGTGAGAAGCTGGCAGAATGTCTCTTCGAAGTCTTTAAGGTAACTTGCCGGGGACCCATCTGGCTTTGCGAAATAACGTCCCCAGGGTTTGATAACAACGTGAGAATGTTTCTAATGTGATGACATTTACATGGGAAACTGATTGAAGAATGTGTTCCTAGCCATAGGTGGAAAATTCAAAATGGGTCGAGTTTGCTGGATGATTCCCCTCCGATTCGAACCCACGACTTTTCGGTTAGCAGCAGTGTGCAGGTACCAGCCATCCACATCGCCTGCTCTCCTGTTCTTTCTCTGTATGCATCTGGTCGGACTACTGGAGTGGTGCTGGACATCGGTGACGGCGTAGCACAGGTCTTCCCATCACGTTCTGAATATCATCTACATACATTCACCGATTTAGGTTATGCCTGTCTATGAGGGGTATGCAGTAGGGCATGCGGCCACTCGTGGTGAATCAGCTGGGAGGTGCTCGAGCCTCTGTCCTCATCTGTGTAGCCTTGCATGGTCAGGAGCGTTACTGAGTGGCTGCAGTTGTCGCTCAAAAGGCAGTGTGGAGTGCATTTGCTATCTACGGCGGATCGAGAGGTGGGTCATTTTTGGGCCTATTCTGAATCTTGATGATAGCAACCTTAGATAGTCCGCACTATGAAGGAAGATTGTTGTGCCGTATCCCTGCATCCAGCCGTGCAAAGGGCATGGCGCGGTGGCACTGAGTGGGAGTTCGACAGGGACCCCAGGAGGGCTGGCACTAAGCAAACATTGGATCACACGGTGGGCTCGACTGCTCAGTTGTTACAGCGAGAATTGATCTTATTCTTTTGTTTATACCAGAGAAATGTGTGAGGTTGTTGAAACGGTTTTCGCAGAATATACACTACGTGTAATGTGGAGATCCAAATTTACGTGGCAATCAAAACCACTGCGAATGATTGGAATTCCCTGAAAATGGTTTTACTCTTTAAATGTGCCACGGACTGGATTTTCGAAAAGAATATTTTTGCGCACTTTTGAACACAATGGAGTTCCACCCTAGTGATATGAGAAACACTAGTGAAAAATATATTCCACGACTACTACATATCACCACGAATATCGCGTTTTTCACAGAGTATTACGTGAAACGGGCGAAACTATATTGTTCAATTTGGTGACCGAAAAAATGAAAAATGTTTTGGTCGCGTATGAGTGCCAAATCTTCTCATGTTCAGTATGAACTCCCAGATGGTTCTATAATCAACATCGGCCTTGAGCGTTTCCAAGCCCCGGAGATAATATTCAATCCCAGTGGGTGTCCCCTCCTCCTTTTCTGTGGTATATAGGGTAGATATGTCCTCAGCAATGGCGGCCTCGGCGGACCAGGGTGTGCATCTGCTACTGGATGAGGCCATACAGAAGAGCGATATGGATCTAAGGCGAACGCTGCTGCAAAATGTGGTAAGAGTTTTGAAGTAGGAGTCGGAATATGCACATGGTCAAGTGTGTGTGTTGGTGATAATAAGAAAATTATGAGGAAATTTGACAAAATTTTTGGTGGTTTCTGTACACTCTTACCAGAGCTCAGCTGAGGAAAGGGAACATATATTCCTCCAACATTGCCTTTAAGTGGGATGTGATCGAGTAAGGCAGTCTGGTGAAGATCGACGAGTTCTTTAACGCGTGTCCCGATATGAAAATAGATAATGTGAAGTTACCGAAATTCTAGAGCGTTTCGCAAGATTTGAATTTTCCGTGTTGTAGGTTCTCGCTGGTGGCAGTACGTTATTCCCAGGGTGAGTCAGGAAAGGGGTTTGATACTTAGATTTCGGTATAGAGGCTGTTTCGAAACCTCGCGGGCTGCACTTCTCTCAAAAAATTGTAGCCCCACACCGTGAGTGTCTAAAACCGTCATATTTTTCTCCAGGCTCCACTGGTCAATTTTGACCTACTGATTATTGATGATGTTAACCGTACTTGTGCAAGATTTGATTCCGGAATTCTCACTCAAAATTGAGTTTCACTCTCACGAGATTCTGAAACACTTTTTGCAAAGGTTATGTATATCTGAAATGCTCGGTGGAGAAATTAGCTCAAAAGTAGATGTGGTTCGGGAAAAACCGGTATGATAAGAATTACGCGTTTTACATGTCGCGTACTGTACGTGATTGTGCTGAAGGTTCGGCGAGAGGCTTTTGTCGGAAATGCGCAAGTTGGTTCCGAAGGATGCAAGAATTAAAATCTGCGCCCCTCCAGAGCGTGAGTCGCATTGGGGGTAATTTCGTGGCGCGTGACGTAGTCGAGGTTCAGGGAAGCTCTCAGCGTGGGTTGGCGGAAGTGTGGTATCAAGTCTGAGCTCATTCAAGCGAGTATGGTTGACTCGTGAGGAGTATAGGGATGGCGGTCTCTCAGTATTGTATAGGAGGACAGCAGTCTGATCGATTACACCATGCTACGAATTAGTATGTTTCTTTGGGCACATTTTACTGTGTTGCTGAGAATTACCCTCAGGGTCGAAAGAGTAGGGTAGAAAATGTCCTCCAGCAATAGTACATTATACTATTGTGGTTCATCATTAATGCCTATATAATATGGATGTAAATGTAAATATTAATAGCATATAAAAATAGAGAGATTTGTTTTTTGCGCTATTCATATCTTTCGTTGTGTCTAACGGTAAGCGAAAGAATAACGCACACAGATGATAGTACTGGACAATGCTTGTGTTATTTATTAGAGTTTCATCCGTTCTACGTGAAGTGGTGTAAAACTTGGTGAAAAACGCGATATTCGCGGTGATATGCAGTAGTCGTGAAATATAGTTTTTCATATCACTAGGGTGAAACTCCATTATAAACATAACTTCCAGCGCCACGAAATCATCCTAGTAGCATCGGAATCACGTATTAATGTCCTACCACCCCTACCACGAGGAGCCGACTCTTCCTGAAAAGTACCCGTTCTGTACCTCCTGGGCGGTGGCGATGGGCGTTGCGGGGTTTTCGAGAACAATTATTGCCCCTACCGAACGGATCAGATGGCTTCTCGCAAATCAAGATCATCTAGTTGAGATCAAGTCGGGAAAAATGAATCGATACACGGGCATTTGGGACTGCTTTTCTAGAGTATGTAAAGAAGAGGGTTTCACTGCGTTATGGAAAGGCAATTTGAAAAACGTAACGCGCTATGCTCCCAGCCAGGCATTCAACTTTTCGTTTCGCGAGGCGTTCAAGTCGGTGCTACCTCAATACGATCGGAAGAAAAATTTGTGGCTTCACAGTCAGAGTTGCTTTTTGGCGGGGGCGTTGGCGGGCACAGCATCACTGGTGATTATGTACCCTGCTGATGTCATTAATACTAAGTATAGTAGTGACCTCAGCAGGGGACGCGATAGGATGTACAAAAATCGTCTATCATGTGTGAACCAAACGATCAAGAGAGGCGGTCTCGGTTCCCTCTATAGTGGCTTTGGAAACTCCATCCAAGGTATTGCGATTTACAGAGCGTTGTATTTCGGATTGTACGATACCATGAAGGGCCGGTTTATGGACGATGAACGAACAGAAAGCGTGTTCTGGCGATGGGTCATGGCCCAGGTCTCAACGACAGCAGCAGGGGTGGTATCATATCCCTTCGACACGGTGAGGAGGAAAATGATGGCCAACGCACGGCAGACGGGGTTTCAATCGGAGCAGTTGAGTACATCTTGGCAGTGCTGGAAGCATATCTTCCGAAATGAAGGTTTCAAGGGTTTCTTCAGAGGCTCGTTCTCTACTATACTCCGAGGGCTTGGTGGTGCATTGGTCTTGGTCTTGTATGACGAGGCTAAGTTCATGCTCTATGATTAGAAAGCTCGAGAAGAGAGTGGGATGTCACTATCGTGTGCCCTTCGCTGTTGTAATGGCAATCCGCTATGGTAACGACAGTGTAAGTTGACAGACATGTGTTGGGAGTCGCGTTTCTGAGGATGGATGTGATTTTGTGTTCGAAGTGGCTTGAGATGTTCTACGCACTGAGTTTCTATGTAACTATTGGGAAGATCCCTCCTGGGGGCATCCCTCATAGTGACCGCGAAGGTAATGTATGTCTGGATAAGATACCTCGACGTGTGTCTCGCGGCCATGACATCAACTGTTTTGTTGCTTCTGTGAGCTATCCGGATTAGCGGGATAATTTGCTAAAATTTCGAGCACACACCCTCACATGTAGCGACGTTTGCTGATGGTCTAGAAACAATTGCAACCCCACCTGTTACGATTGGGAAAGAATTGCCCGATGTTATCAGTATTGAGCTGTGTCGTATCAGTAACGCCTCCGCAGCAGGTTAGTTTCCCAAGGCTTGGTCGCTATAACTCGAACACAAGTACGTTCTCAATGAGAATACCAGTGGAAACGATGTGCCTCACTTATGGACCATTCAGCCGCTTCTCGATCTTGACACGTAGCGACGCGAGTCCGATCCTTCCCTCGCATGCATTATCGAATAAATAAACCTCGACTGTTCTTTCATCACAATTGTAATCATCATCGTCGATGAGCAGTTCCTCGGTCCCTCCAATAACTTCTTCATCATTAGTGATCGCGAAAATTGCAAAACTCGTGAAGGGATCTCGGGACTCTATTTCCACTGCTTTTGACCGTAACTCGGCAGAGTTGGCTACCCGAGACATCGAAACACGACGACCACTCGTTCCACTCTTCATGACATCCACAGGATCTTCACCGTTCACGCAAAGGAGCGGCCACAAATCTCCCAGCGGAGCGAAATTCTTCCTATGAAGACTCATCGCTAGCACTGTTACAGATAGCCAATAACTCGTTCGCCCTTTCAATACTCTAACTGTTGCGTACCCCACTGTATTCTCCGAATTGTCTGTGAATTTGACGCGTCTATCTCCGCTGAGAGCTCCACTCATTGCCACTAAAGCTCCGCGATCTAGTATAACAATACGATACCACTCAGCTTCATCACAGGTCATACGATACGTCTTCGTGGTGTCGCCTGGTACGACCCGCTGTGACAATCTTGAAGGGAGTGTAGCTGCCTCACGATAGTCCTCACCATCGCGAGTCACTAGCAATGCAAGACTGGTGACCCCTTTCAAATTAACGTCAACACCCTCTATCACGACTTCAACAGTTTTATCGAGTTTGCTAAGCGAGGCCAAACTCGAGGTTGGAGACTCACAAAAGAACAACGGTCGGCCCTTCGAAACAGCGGGAGGAACTCTCAGATGAGCTAAATCCATTTTATTCAAGGCCTCGATAAGGCGATCAGAGGAGAGCGTATGATCTCGACGTGGGTGCTCGTAGTTGATAACTGATTTGGCACTTGCGACAAGTCTTTCATATACTCGCTGGAAGCGACCGTCTTGTCGGAGCTTTATGGGGATCTTCCCCTTTTCAGCGTATCGCCCTAGGGCGCTCAAAAACTGATCGTCATCGCGAGGCTTTTCTGATGACAGACCGACAGGTGGAATATCTTTCCGCGTGCGCAAAGTCGGGATCCTAGCGCGAGGTTGGGGTATCTTTGACTGCGCCATCTGCTTTGATAGAGGTACGGTCAGGTTTTTGAGTTCCTCCTCGAGCTCATGCTCTAGAATAGAAAGGGAAGACAATGAAGAGGGGAGTCGACTCATGAGTATGATAAAAGTGTCGGATGAAATACTCGAACTTACACCCTATACCACTACAATCGGACATTCTAACGACTACACTATCAATTCGCCGTGAATTAACAACAAAGGCCTTCCAGCTTGGTGAAGTTGTGATAGCATAGTAACGAAATGTTAGACTTAGAAAATCAACAAATATGAACTCCAACGATTGGAAAGAAAGCCGACGGATCTACCCGAAGTCAGTGTGAAGCTGGGTGGTCAACCAGAGCGCTTCAATAGCTGGCATCATCGCTATCAGACAGTATAGATTCCCGGTCACCTGAGGTCGGCATGGAATTCCAGGAGGAAACATAAGCCCTTTCCCTCACATTCTAACGACGACTCGCTGGACTGCATCAATGACATTCTGGCTGTTTGCGCGGTACTCTCCCAGGCAGGAATGGTCGCCTCGGCAGCCTTCTGAGGCATCCTATGGATCCTCTGGCGATGAGAAGATGCTCGGTGCGCTAAATTGGAGGAGTCGGTGAAGGCAGTCCCACTAGATGGTAATATCTGGAGAAACACGGAACATCGGATCGATCCCGGGACCTTTTGATTATCCACCTCATGATGAGCATGCACTGGTGCTGTCGGAAGATAATGCTTGTATCTGACAGGATGCAGCCTAGAACGCTAAAGCCAAGGGAATAACTCACTCGGGATACCACATCTTGGACTTGACAAACACTTCAGCATCCAAAGGCGTTTGGATTCTCGTCAACCCCCTGAAGAGCGAGTAACAGTGAACTACAATTTCGTGGCGCGCGACATTTTGAAGCTCGCTACTTCTTGGACCCGTATATGATGCATTGGGCGGCCACTTTACAGGCAGTCTCCCTCAGCTTTGACATAGGCGGCAGAAGCGTCCTCGTCTTCATCTCCTCCACTGTGACCATCGACGCGATCGTTCCTGAGATGAGACCAAAAGTCATGGCAAAACACCATCGGCGTTTCCTTCCCAAGTTGCCTTTGATAGCCGAATAATGGTATGCTTATCAAAGGACAGTACGAAGATCAAGCTCCTCATGTTGAAACCAGTTATCACTTCGCAGTAGTAACGAAGAGAAAAATACCCACAGCTCATTTGAAGGCGAATCATGAGAGGTCTTCCACTCACTTGCAGCGATGTAAAAGAGCTGGTTCGGTATAGTAGCGAGATTCCCTGTTGACGCTGCCAAGCCGATGCCAGGGAACACGTACCTGACTCGCAGGTATTCATCAATCCAAAACCGAACATCATCCAAGTATGAGTAGTTAAATGGATTATCGTACATGTTGCTAGCTTGCGCCGGAATGAAATGCTCATCAGTTTCGGGGAACACACGCGAGCTCAGCTTGTAGGAGTTCTGCGTGGGCACGTCTGAGGGTGTTGAGTCACAACAACAACAATGACACCAGCGTGTGATGATTACGATAGGCCGGCATGGGGCTTCCAGAGGCGAACAAGCACTTGCCGTCAGTGGCCCTATAGGCCTCCTCAGCAGTGCACTCACAGCAATTGGTCGGGTTGGACAGACTGAACACGATGGGGTACTCGCAGTTGGCATTCATCGCTTGAAGAACTTCAGAGGAAAACAATCCGCTCTGGGCTGATACCCTGAAAGAAAGTGCTCAATCCTAGCCTATTTTGTATCTTTCTCGCTCAACATGAGGATATTCCTACCCGATCAACACTGTAGTTTGACCTCCTTCACACCGAGAGGAGATCGTTCTTGCCACATTTCATTGGTGGCTGCACATAGTTCACACGGTATCTAAATTCGAAGAAATATCTCAGCGGAGCGAAGGGCAACTCGCTTCCAGACTCACTTTGCTCTGCCCTTCGCAATTTCATACTCGTCTGGCGATCCGTACTGACCAGACCCTTGGAGTCTATCAGCCAAATTCGAGACTCTGTAGAGGGAATAACGTCACTGCGCCACAAAATTCGCAATCGTCCCACTCGCTTCCTCAAATGGTACGCCTTCCTGTACCAATGCCTCGCAGATCAGCCGTACGATACCAACAGCTGCGCCACCAGCACCAGCAAAGACCTGCGAGGATCGCACTTACCCACACCAACGGAGTGAAGAAAACTCACGAAGCGCTGACCGTCCAGTGAGTAACGCTTCTTCGTGAGCCTAGGCTGATTTGCATTGCTCTTCTTGGACTGGAGATATGCTCGTGTCTGAGGTAATCTCATGTTGCTGCGGTGAAATTCACCAAGCAGAAAGCAAATACCATTAGTGAAGAGCGAGACCTTCATATCATGCTCACCTTCAGACCCGCTAAGATAGCTGCGAGCACCACACCAGCCGTTCCTTGGACATCATCGTTGAATGTGCCTGATGAGCAGCTCGTACGGTACAAGGTGTCCTCTATCATCCCATCGACCCCGGTTCGATCCCGGCATCTTACGTATTGAGTTGCTATAATTATCCAGTATCATGAAGGCATTAGGGTAGCTGAAATCTTCCCATTGAATAACCGCGTTTGGCCACCGTGTGAGCACCGCGGACACAAACTCGTCGACCATAGCAAAGTAATCGTTGCCCTTCAATCTCCTAGTATGTTCTCCAATGTACCGCGGATCATTGAGGAGATCCTCGTTGTCAGTACCAATATCGAGGATGCACGGCAGGACTCGACCGGGGTTCAGGCCGGCGCACGCAACGTACAGCGATATTTTCCCGACAGAAACACCCATGCCGTTAGCGCCGAGGTCGCCAAGACTCAAAATACGACTACCATCGGTGACGACCTGGTCAAATACGAGATTCAAAGATACGCGTGTAACGAAAGCTTCCCACCACAAGGTCGACGTCCTCGTTGGGACAGTTATAAACAACTTCCTGAAAATGGCCCTTATCGCTGTAAGTGAAATACAGGCCTCTAGGGAAACGCCAGACACTACCGAACTGTTTGCACCTGGACAAGAGTAGATGATAGAACAACCGAACGAATGTGTACACAATTACGGACTTTCTGTAAACGAATACAACGTCTTGACACTCCATCATTATTGAGGAACTGTCGAACGGTTCGATGTGAATCCCTCAACGAGCTTTGTAAAAAACAATTTCACGAGAACCATATATGAGCTCTCTCAGCGAGTGTCTCTGTGCTCCTCGAGAGAGACGACCTAAGCGTTCAATGCGCTCACAGAAGGAATCCTATAACACAAGAAGGTTCTTCAGTGAGCCACACTGAGTGAGAAAAGTGACCGTGGCATCCAAGCTGGATGATCCAACACACATGTACAGCGGTCTCAATTCCACGCAATGATCGAGGCACTCCGTATTCATCGCGTTGATCTTGCATGTGCTGACCCTGGGTGTACCGCCAAGGCACCTCATCAGATCCGTATCATAATTCACGAGTACTCGTCCATAGAATAGCCGACTCAGATATGCTTAATCTGAGGCCTAGGGATTATTCCCTATCAGGTTTGTGACGACTACTTAAAGCCATTGTTGACCGAAATTCGAACCAAATCAGCTTAATGATGATGAACGGCTACGCAATTTGCAATAACTGCCGCTCTCCAAACACACGAGACCAAGTATCACTGGCTTCGTCGATCCGCCAGTGGTGAACGCCAAAATAGTTATGATGGCACAGCCCAGCTACACGAGGTTGAATGTGCAATCCATAGCCATTTGACAGGCCTTGACGTAGTTTGTCATCATTCTATAACGGAGTGTAACATAATGTTCATAGTAACGTGAAGCAAACATAAAGATCAGAAATCTTCTGCTGAAGCGAATATGGACCGTCCGCGCTCCGTGGTACGCAGGATACAGATTGTATCGTAGAGTCTCAAGGGCTCATCTTCTTCTCGACATGTTTACGCTTTATCGGCCATTTTCCAGAATAACGGTAAGTTCATCCACCTAATAGTTGGCCAATTGGTTGCGATAGCGTTGTGCAGGTGAGCCAGGCTCAATCGTTCCGGCCTACAGGATGTTCCCGAGATAAAGAGCCACTCAATCTCTCAGGCTTGTCAACCAGGCCTTGTTTCCCAGCCCGACTGGGAAACGAACGTTGTTTGGCACTGAAGGGTCACATACAGTGGAATCGCTCCGGTATTTCCAGGCCGAAAAATACTAACAACCTTTTCGATAGACTTCATACTATGAAGTTCATGGTGAACTCAGTAAAACTCTGAAAATGAATTTGCGTCTGTGACTCACAGACTGTGACTTCGAGACGATCCGAGCAAGCCGAAAGCAAGGGTGGTGATTCCTCAAAATGCCCCGCGCTGGGTGTCCGAGTCGAATCTTGAACTCGTGCAAGGGGAAAAACCGAAACCGACTTACACATCACCAACAGTGGGAATAAAAACAATCCGATGGAGCTCCTCCAAATTATCGACCAACAGCCGGTAGTACAGGGTCTCGTTGCGGTCGAATATAGCTGAGAAAGGAGATCGCCGAAATTGAATAAACAACGGAAAGCGGAAAGTTTTACTTCACAATAACTTTGAGATTCACTTTTGAGTGCAATTCTATCTACTCAAACAGAAATCACGTCTACAGGTATGATAGCTTTGATCAGCAGCAGAAGCCAAAACGAGCCGATGATAATACCACTGGATTGAGAGAAGTGGAAATCGTCAGGATAGCGCCCACCTTGTAGATCCAGAAACCGAGAAAGGTCGGTGTCCCTCATGCGTAATCGCTCCATATTCCGTGACATCTGCATCTCGATGGTGCACTGACGAACCGGAATCAGACCACGCAGTGACAGCTCATCACGCTCAATTTCACTGAACTGGGTTCCTTTATTAAGAACCTGTTGATAAAAAACGACTACTAGTAAGATACTCAAGAGCCCGTACTGGATCCCTGAGGAGGTTCGCTCCTCGCGAAGACACTAGCATTATGTCGTTCGAGTCATTACTGTGCGAACTAGCAGCCTTGACACCGACAATACTTGCCGACATGTTACTCAGGAATTGACCTGAAAAAGTGATAGAAAGATCGTTGGAGACCTATTCCGAGGATTCACATAGATCCAATGATACACCGAATCAAGTGAATAGGCTTTGGTCTCACAGTGGCGAATACGAGGCAAATCTCAGAACTCATCTCTCGGCCCAGGAATGCTGACCTCCCATTTGCATTATGAGCATCACTTGTCGGCTGCAGTTGATGAACATATCCTCCACGCCGCTTCCCGTTTTCGCCGATACCTGCGGAGATAGTTTCATAACGACTCACGCGCTCGCCCAATCGATCGATTTTTACCTCGACATACAAAAACCTATTGGCCATACCAAATTTGCGGCCTTCCTCTGAGCTAACTTGCCACGTCTCTGGATTCATATCGCATTTGTTAGCGACAAGTACAATGGAAGTCGCAGAGTTTCGCCAAGTCCTCGTGGCCTCGTCAGACTGGGATGTTTGCGACTTTGCACGATCAATAAACTCGAGCAGACTCTCGAACGACTGAGGTGAACAGATCCATACAAGCCTGTAGCTTAGGTTGAGTGCAGCCTAAATTCCCCTTGACTTCCACGCGTCCGAACTCCTTCACAATTCTATGAAAAAGAAAGTGCTTCCACAAGAAGACGCTAAACGAAAACTATCGCTTTTGCTCGCACTAGAAGGAGTCACATATTCATTAGCTACAAAGGACGAAAAAATTCCACTTATCGACATTTGCAACCAGGATCAGCAAGACATGAAACTCATGAACCGCGACGATGAAAATTCCGTTCCCAAAGAGGAGCATTGCACTCGGTCAAAGCGGCGTTGCGTGCAGAAGGCTATAACAATCAGAAACAAATCAAGCTATTGCCATCATTAATCTCGCCTGCAGCTATCGAACGGCAACCTCAACTCTCGACCTAATACAAGCGCAGACCCCTTACTCTGCGATCAGTGACGTCATACACGAGTAGAACCACTGCAGACACATTAGCGTAGGTATATGCGAACTGGGAATAGTAGGTATCAAAGATGCACAGCTGGAGTCTCGACTGTTGTATCTGGTTAAGACACCGCCATTGAGGAAATCCAAGAGTGAACAAGATTGCAAGATCACTATCGATTTTCTGATGAAATCTCACAATTACTGTCACCGACCATCCTAATGATTCTGGTTAAGCCGACGGTCATACCATACCATCTCGCCAAATTTCGATACTATAATGAGGAATCGATGAGCCTACCGACAGAATACTCAAATTTCGCTCGCCCTAAAATCGCCACCGTTTCACACAACTACACGCACTAAAAAAGATATCTCGTACATCAAGCAGGACTTTCCCGCTACTAATGGCCGTCGTTGGACGATAATCACTATGGAAAGAGTCTTCCACCATCCTCTCGAACAGAGCTGTCTTGCCGACACCACTAGCACCCAGTAGACAGTATCTACACCATCGTTGCTCCCATCATACTTTTCCTGTCCTTATAGGTACTGAAGCGAGAAGTCCCATTTCTGCAGTTGCACTCCTGCACATGGTGCTCCTCCCCCTCCTCCTTCGTCGTCCTCCCCTACTGTCGCCTCCTTTCCCTCGTCAGTCATCTCCTGCGTCGCCTTGATGCACTCTTCAGTCTCTTGGCGCTCCTTAGCGAGAGCTTCTGCCCGGGCCGAAAGCTCATAATTAATAACGGAATTCCACTTCTGCAATGTCTCGATGCTCGCACACGCCGCGAGATCCTCAATAGGCATCAAATCGACATCAAAGTTGCCTATACGATGATCCATCAAAATTCTTGCAAAAAGAACTTTAACTCACTCCGGTTGCCCGCAACCTCAGCTCGAATTCTGTCACCTTGCGAAGGTGTCGAACTACTCTCCGTCTCCGTACCTGACATCAAGATACTCCGAAAGATATTCTTCGCTGTGCGCTTCAACAACGTACCACGAAATGGCACACTCTGTGAGCTCACAACCTAACACACATACATAAGATCCTCTTCAGATTCGACCTTGGTGACCTACTCTAGGGGGCGGGGCGTATCTCCCCTCAAAACTCCACATATGTCTCTGCATCATGATGATAGACAATCACGGCTGGATGATGAAATCGACGCGAAAAGCCAAACTTGAAACTTCGGAAAAAAATCCCACCCACAACAAACAGCTCCTACTAGTAGAATATCACGGCATAGTAAAATATCTTACCTTCCACCTCGAAAGATTCAAATCTAGCCCGAAACGGCTTCCGCCCGCCATTTAATATCCACCATCGGGATACAACACAGCGAAGTTTCTGAACTTAGTTCCTCCCTATTATAAATTCTGGGAGGATGAAACGGCTCAGAATATGTTCTAGACCCCGCAAATCTTTCGGATGCGCACTCCCCCTTCCAGTGTTGGAGGAATATACGCCCGCTTTCCTCAACTGATCTCAGGAGTTTCCTCACTAATTATAGGAGTTTGCACACGACTTGAGGTAGAAGTGCACAGAAACCCATGAGAATTCTCCAAAATTTCCTCACGCTTTTCATATTATCGCCGACCATGTGCATATTTTCCCACGAAACGAAACCTATAAGTCGCATCATCAAGACACGATTAGCCCCATACAAAAGGATCGGATCTCACGGCCTACTTTCCCCACGACTAATCCCCCCATCGCACCATGACACATTTTCGAACCTACTTCGTATCCAAGTTGGATAATCCAACACAGAGTAACCCAAGATACCGTATGATACTTTCTCATCACTTTCCCAGTGGTTTACGAACGTTAGAAGTCTGTATATAATTGTGCTTATGCGCCCGATGTGACTGCTTCTTCGCAAACTTCTGCCACGACATCTGCGACTGCCTGAATACAAAACGAAAATCTCGCTCGCCCACCATAACGTTCATTAAGGGGTCGTTCAATAAACCGATTTTGAACTCATAATCGTTTCCAGAATTGCTTATTACACGTTTAATACGATGCTAGAATCGATTCTGAATTCACCCACAATTGATTCAATGAACATAGGGTAAACCTCTCCTGAACTTAGAATTGGATTCGACATGTGAAACGCAATCCTGGGATCGCTGTTGAAACCCAGGAGATGTCTATAGAATACCCAACAAGTTCAAGTCAGCAGTGGGAACAATACAGGGGAACAGTCAATTCCGACAGACCCAGAGTTCACGATATGCGATTCTAACTTTTTTCAACGATTATACAAACTACAACTCATATCGGCGTAAAACTAATACTCGGTTAAAACTCCTCACAAAAAATCTACCAAATTTGGTATCATACTTGGTAGCACAAACTACACTCACTGAAATTCCCTCGTAATTTCTGTCAACTGCTTCTCATAAAACCGTTCAAATCCATACAAGAAAAGCATAAATTTCATACGTTTATTACACATGTTCATATATGATATAAAAAATAATATGTCACATAATATTGGAGTTTCGCCCGTTTTACGCGAAGTGGCGTAAAACTCGGTGAAAAACACGATATTCGCGGTGATATGCAGTAGTCGTTAAATACATATTTTTCAACAGTGTTTTCCATATCACGGGTGAGACTACATTAATACATATATGTTGAAAACAATACGCACCGCGAAAATTTTGACGCCAACAAAGATTCTCACTTCGATTCCTTGTCCTTCATCTCTTCCCTCTGTTGAGTCTTCAACTGATGGATCTTCCTTCGTTTTGCATCTGACACAAATCTTCCCACACTCAATAGCGCACTCGGAAGATTTTAACGTGAGAAGATACGCTGGAAGATTCCTTTCCTCACCAATCGATGCCTCAGAGTCGACCTTAGGATCCACCTTATACTTCTCAGGAATGCGATAACCAGCCGGAGTAATATACCTACATTAAAATGCACCTTGCAGGGATCGTCCCATCACAACAACCCCACTCACTCCTTCTCTCCAACAGCAGCCTTCTTGGCCTGGGCCTCTCTCGCGATGAGCCTAAAAATTACCAGCAAAATGCCCTCCCCTCGGATCGAACCCGCAACCTCTCCTCACCGAATTTGATCAATATTGACCTCCTCAGGAGACTGTCCAGGATCGTCCTCGAACAAAACCTTATATCCCTTCACTGTATGCTCCAAAACCGTACACTGGTACCTCACCCATACACGTAGTACACTTAGCGCTCGCCCCGATGATCGATTATCTCACCAAAGGCCATCCTGAGCCCATATCGCTTGTATGACAGACCCCACAGGGGCCTCCTGCGGTCGTGGGGGCTTCAGCAGAGCCACATCTTGAACTTTGTATTCTCGACGTTGATCAAAGCCAATGAACCGGACCGCGCACCTGATCACTCGCGGGTATCTTAGGTTCACCCTTGCATGATACGGATTAGGTTCCCTAGTTGCTCACGTCGCTTCTGATGACGACAGCAAATCATCATCAGCCATTTCCCAGGGCAGCATGAAAAAATATGCACATGGTCAACTACACGTGTGTTGGTAACAATATGAAAACTCCAAAGGAATTTTGGGAAAGTAATGTTGGTCACTATACGCTGCTACCCCAAACTTCTATAATCAGCTTCGGAATTTCCTGAGCTCAGCTGAGGGAAGCGAACATATATTCCTCCAACATTATCCCACAGACTAACAGCACGCTCCGCCCATCCCCTCCAGCCTACCGTTCAGTGCCCAACTCGTCAATTCGAACACCAGTTATCTCAGCGTTGAACCTGAAATTTCGAGCACAAAAATTTCCATGAATGATAATAACGCTGATAAACATCGCTCCTTCGCTCCCCGCTATTATATGCATCTTCATAACGTCCTTGCGTCAACACTCAGAAGTATTGTCGCTCACAGTGTGGGGGAATATGCACATGGTCAACTATTCATGTGTTGGTGAAGATATGAAATTTTTGAGAATCTCTGTAAACTTCTACAATTAGTGAACGATACTCCCCCCCATCACGGAGAAGCTTCCCTTCAACGTTGCGATACATCCGACAACCATAAACGTTGTAAAAATCTCCGAATCCGGACTATTTCTCCCAATAACGTCTCCTACGAAGAGCCCAAATTCAATAACACTTCATATCACAGGCTGATGACCTATTCCGTATCTTTTCACCATCAACCTAAGATTCCCCCCATATCACCATTTGTTCTCATAAAAGACCTCACAGGTGCGCCCCACTAGATGGCTCCTCGCCGCAGCTTGCCCCACAGTCCCCACTGCCGGGGGGCCCTCAGCCGCCGCCTTGTTCTTCTCAGCCTCCAAGGCCGCGGCTGCAGCCAACCTCTCCTTCTCAATCTCAGCACCCATCGCCAACACGGCTAAGGAAAGATGGTCAATGAGTCCAAGCATAAAAATGCGAAAAATTTGAAAAATTTCACGATAATTTTCACTTTATTTTTTGCCATGTACGGAAATCGACACGACGCGCAGAATTGATGATGACGACATAGCCTTTGACTTCTAGTCACACTCGGTAATCATCCATGAGAAATATTTCACCCCTAAAGAATTTCAGAGTGGTCAACACCGCCTCAACACTGTCGAACTCCCCTAGTAACCCCACGCCATCAAACCTTCACCATTCGGGGTATCTTCCTCACCCCGCCAGAAAGATACAAAACAGGCCCATAACGAGCCACATCCCAAGCATAGCCGATTTTACTTTCTTTCTGCTTCTCACTCTCCTCCAAAATGTTCACTGTGTCCTTAAGCTGTTCATATATCTGACAAACGAGCCATGTAAGCTCCTCGATCGCCAACTAGCCAATTTGAAAAACCATCATAGACGAATTTATCGAAATTCAAAATGATGCAGTCGTAAACTTCAATTCCCAATCGTCGTCGCGCCAATCTTCCGCAGCTCTCAAATACGACATTCTTTCCCCCAAAAAGTAGATAAACCACAAAAACGATCACCAAGAATAGAACGCCCTACCTCCCCCACACTAACCCTGAACCCTAACCTACTCACCTCTTTAATCTCGGCATTTTCAGGGTCCTGATCCAGCAGACTCTTCACCTGCGACAGCTGCTCTTGATAATACGCGAGATCGCCCGCATCTCCCCCCGTATTCGCAGTCGAAGACATCGCGAAAAGGAAACTCAAAAACAACCATTTCCATGAAGGCACTAAAACTCAACATTTCTCATTCACTCACACCACTAGTGTTACATGACCGAATCTTGCCAATCTTACTATACTTACATTTCCTCAAAATCCCAACAAACACCAAGCATCTGGGTTAACAACCCTATACCTACCACAGAACTCCGTCACGCGCCACGAAATTCACCAGAAGTCACTCACTCGCATCCTCGACTCGCCTGGTCGTAATTCAAACAACACGACCACGCCTCCCTTCCCTCCATCTCCATCATACCAAACGTTCCCGGATGGTGATGCTCGCGATACCTCGATTGAAATTTTCCCGAAAATTCTCGGAAAATTTCCGCAAAATTTCCCCATCACAAATGCTGACCTACCTCCTATCCTGCGTTGTCAATGAGAGATTCGGGCGGAAGCTCTCGCGTGCGATCGGATATCGCCGATTCTGAACATGGACAAAACTGTGAGCCCTACAGTCGATCTCCTTCACGAAAACCCAAATCGATCAGAATGGCGCGCGCTTTTTACATCACAAACCCACCTTCTCATCAGACAGCAGTTTCTCATCCAATAGCCGCCTCGCCATCGCCTCCAGCCTCATCAACGACGCATGAGGGAACTGATCAATAATTTCGTGGCGCGCGAAAAATTACATCATATCCCACCTCCCTCCTGAGCTCTCTTATGAACTCCCCCCTAAGATCAGCATACTGCCGTTTTTTCTCCCTAACCAATTCCTGCAACTCCACCACTTGTTCTTCAGGACTGAACAGCGTTGAGGAAATGCAAGTGAGAGCAAGATACCCAAGATTCAACTCTCAACACACTTACTCCAAAATCGATTGCAAAAAATGTTAAAAATGAGAACCCTTACACAGTTCGTGTGTGAAAAATATGAACATGGTCAACTTGTGTTGATATGTGTTGGTAACAATACGAAAATTTCGAGGAAATTCCGGGAAAAATCCTGTTCGTGTCTGGGCACTTCTACCCGAATTCGTATAAAAACTAGTGAGGAACCTCACTTCTGAGCTCAGCTGAGGAAAGCGAACATATATTCCAACACTGCCCCCACATATCACTCACCGTTGAGAAATAGCAAGAGAGCGCAAGATTTCAAGATTTCCACCCACTACTACCTCCTATACGTTTCACTATTAACATGAACATCGACATCACCATTCATTCTAATCCTCCTCTTCTCAGCCTTCACAAACGCCTTCAATCGAGCATCAACGTCAGCAGGCTGACACGTGCTAGAGGAGATATCCCACGATCCGATGAAGTCATTCTCAGGGTTCGCACTGTGGCGACTGGCACCTGAGGAGACCGACACTCATACCACTCCTTGCTGAACTCCACCGACATTAAGTGGTACAACCCTATATTACCACAACATAACACGTCACTGCCATAAATGCAAAATGGAAAATTCCACCACTAAAACCAGATACCGGAGCGAGCGCAGCAAGAGGATACTAATTCCAGGGTAGAGTTTGATGAGCGATCCGAGATCTATGACTTTCAAATGACCACGACCAGCGCAATTGAAAATCAATTTTGCTCATCACATCTCCACAACGATCATCATTTCCCAACAGCTCAATCAAAAGATACGAGCTTCGCCCCTTCGTCACGAATTATGCCTAGTATTCGATTTCGCGCCCCCACTCGTCAGTATCAAATCGTGAAAAGAATCTATTCACACTTCTAGTCTCTATAGATGGTCACCATGCATCAAATATAGCAGTATACAGTGCTTGTCAATTTGATATGCAAAATGAGAATCGATCTGAAACTATATCGCATGAATATTATAAACATTGTTATGAAAATGTGATGTGATAAAAGTAACCTTTCGAGACTAGTTTTCACTATCATCACTCCCGGAATATAAAACCCACATTTACATACCAAACTGGATTCACCCTTTGCGATTCACGGTGGCATTTCTTGAAAAAATTTGAACACTTTGAAAGTCCAACGCCCACTACGACAGCACGGCCTAGTCAGACTTGCATCGATGCACATTAACTATCGAGTGATCAGCTTCAGCCTTTCACATGTCTACTTTCATCATGTCCACTCTATGAAGCAAAAAGGGCAGATGCCTTGCACATCGGTGTTCACCCGAGACCCAACATCGCCCTCACTAGCTATGAAAGTCTACATACGAATCCGGGTAAAAACGTGCAAGAATAATCAGGAAAATTTTCCAAAATTTTCCTCGAAATTCCAATATGCGGTTGACCATGTGCATATTCTCCCACACTATTCAAAAAAGCGGCCGAAAAAATTTTTCCTCAAAAAAAATGTCGAAATTTTTTCTCATTATTCCCCTCCCCTACCTTTCTCATCCACCAAGTTGAACCATCGCTTCGTGAGACTCCCCACTGGTCCCTTTCCAGTGACCATACCGACGTGTCGAATTATATTCCGCTCTTTTCGTGAAAAAGTTGAGGGGAAATCGGCGACTGAAATCTCCTTGTCGTTCGAATTCGTTTTCCACTACAAAGGGAAAAAATAATTCTCGCAATTTTTTTGCGGGAAAAACCGGACATATTAACACAAATCGATCCTGGACCAAAAAGATACAAATCCTGCCCCCGCGGTAAGATTCAGATGAGGTCCATTACCTACCACTGGTTGGTCCATGAGCCCCGCTCGAACCATCAACAACTGCTTTCTCAAATCTTTCCTAACAGGCTTCTCATCCGTCTTCACACCTAATGCCAAGCAAACTGCAAATTCACTCCCCATTTCAACACCGTCACGCGCCACGAAATTATTCCAAAGAAACGGAGAAAGTACAACCATAAAACTCTGAAAACTAATAAGTAACAATCCTGATTCCTAAAACTTCGTGATTTATAATTTCAAACAAAAAGATCAATTTCGAAAATCTTATCTCCACAGCGTGGTCAATTTCAGTCTTATTTTATCATTTTCAGTCCGATCATCAGATGTAGACTAACCGCTTCATTACGCTATGCTACGGTGTGTGGGGGAGTTTCCTCACTAACTATACAATTTACACACGGATTGGAGTAGAAAAACTCAGAAAGCAACGAGAATTCCCTCAGAATTTTCATATTGTCACCAACACATGTGGTTGAGCGTATTCATATTCTCCCACACTGCCAATGTCCACAGCGTTAGACATTTTAAGCTCATTATTTTCACTCTAATGAATAGATATACACCAACGGAGCTCAGCCGCTTCATCACGTTATAAAGAATATCAACAATCTTACTGATATTCCACGACTTCGGCGAGTGATCGAGTATCTTAGGTCTAACACTGTCGAGGACGGCGCGTCTAGAGGCTAACACCGTAGACGGGACATTCACTGGAGAGAATACCTGAGCATGTTGCCATGATGTGAAAGAAAGATGGTATGATGATAATAATGGAAATCACCGAAATATTTCCAACAAAAGTGACAAAATTGGAGTTTCACCCTAGTGATATGAAAAACACTAGTAAAAAACATATTCCGCGACTACCGGATTTTTTCACAGAGTATTACGCCAATTCACATAAAACAGGTGAAAGTCCATTATAGTATTATTATTACTCTTTCGTTGTCTTCATAATCAACTTTTCCACTGTGCATACCCCCAACACGAACTGAAGACTTCAAGTAACGTCTAGCAGCTTCTCTCGACGCCTCTGCCGAGCCTGACAAGGTTCACCACAATGTTGTCACTGGCAGATCCTAGTAGAAGTTCATTTTTTTCAAAAATTTTCGCAAAATTCCGCATTTTTTCCGTAAAAAAACCAAACATTAAAAAAAATTGTAAAAAAATTTCCATAATCGATTCAAAATACTACATTTCTCTTTCCATAGCTTTTCAGCTTCCTCTTCCCCCCTCCTATTGAAGTGGCTTAGCTTCCGTTCCTTCATGTCTCAACTACACACACGAACCGACATCGAATACATATTCCAGGGCGCGCGCTTAATTTCATGGCGCGCGACAACGCACCATCACGTTGTCACTCGACCAATTTCCATAGTTTTTCATGTTCAATTTCTCCTTGACCTCTTCCACGAGGGACCACATCGACCCACGAAGTGTCGTGCTCAGTCCTGCTGACGTAGTGAAGGCAGGATTCGTGATGAAGCAAAGCAAGCATCTACTACAGTGGAAAAGGCGCTGGTTGGTGCTCACCAAAGACCTGCTTTGCAGTTTCTCGACCAAAGGTAGTGGGGAGGATCTTTTCCACCCGACCTACTTCGTATCTTACCATCTCAACCTCAAGATACGTCGTTACCGCACAGCGAAGATTTCCTCTATCAGGTGCCTTAGCATATCCAACCGAAGCTCTACTATTGCGATCATGCTCTTCTGTGAAGTCAGCAGATGAGGAAACCGGACAAGCGAATTCCTTCAAGTAGCGAGGACAGGAAAAAATTTTTCCAAATTTTTTCTCCAGAGTGGACTCGTCGACCAGAGTGTTTTACCTTATCGCCGACACCCCAGCAGAAAGAGAGTCGTGGATCGGTCAAATTGGCCGCCAAATGATTCGTCCAGAAGTTATAATTGATCGAGAATCAGAAGTTGGAGAAGGTGTGGTACGGAATACTTGCGATAGTTACGTTGTGGGCTCATCTACAACACGTAGGGGAGGGCCTCAGTTTCCCAACGGGTTCGATTAGCCAAGCTACTGATTTGAGTTGATGGGGAATCTTTCTATCTGTCCGACTTCACGTCAACCTCAAGATACGTCTCAGCTGCACTCCAATAGTGATTTAGGACCAAAAATTACGTCGAGATCGAATAAAATAAATCCTAGAATTTTTCGCAATTTTTTGTGTTTAATTTCGTGGCGCGTGACGTTTTCTGTAGCTCACATTGCATCCTTCAATGCCCCCTACAACTTGCGCGAAGGCCCTTCAACTTTGGCAGGAGAAACACGAGGTAAAACGTTGGTGTGAAAGTTTTGCGTTTCGACGATGTGAGCGATCGCTGACGCATTTCCATTTTGAAAAGTACATGTCAACGTGCGATGGTCATCAACCGGACCTACTTTGTATCTTTTGTGCTCAACCCTAGGATGCGAACCCTGAGGAGGCGGAAGTGATCAAGCTGATGTGTCTGATCCCACCGATCGAGAAGCTAGATAGCGCCCTCAATACTTTAGTCAACGTAAAATACCCTCGCCATGGACCGAACCAGGGACCTTTGGATGTGCAGGTTAAACACCTATCGCTCTCGACTAATTGTATAGACAAAATGATTCCTCTTCCTGGACTAAAGAATCTGCAGATTCTCTCCCTTGGGAGAAATCAGATTAAGAAGATCATGTGCTTGGAAGAGGTGACAAATATTATCACAATAATTTTAGGCCAAAAAATTTCACAAAATTTCGAAAAATTTCAAAAAACTTTCCTCAAAAAATCAATAAAATTCGCTGAAACGATCGATCCAATCGACATCGATGCCACAATTCGATGGAGAAGTGGCGAAATTCAACGACTCTCAGTTGAAGTATTCCCCCACAGTTCGTTGGAGCTCCAGAAGATAGTTTTCTGTCAGGTTGGAGCCACCTTGCAACAGCTGTGGATTTCCTACAATCAAATATCGTCGTTGGTAAGAGTCGACCTGAAGATTCCTTTTTATCATTTTTTTCGAAACTTCGATGATCGATTTCAGGACGGACTGACGCCCTGCGTGAAGCTGCATACACTTTATATCTCCAACAACGCGATAGCTTCTTGGGATGAAATATCGTAAGTCGTGTCGGGGATCCGACGGGTTGAAAGATATTCTTCAGAAAACTGTCCTCCTTGCCAGAGTTGACTAACGTATGTTTAGTCGGAAATCCGATTTATGAGGTGAGCGGGAATCGAACCGGGGTCGTTCGATGGCCAAACTGACCGGTCAGGGATTCACCCGTAAGAGTGTTCGGCCGATGGTGCTGAAGCACTTCCCTGAAGTGAAGACCCTGGATGGAGAAATGGTCACTGGTGAGCTCATTCGGTTCGCCTTTAGTCATAACAGGGGTATTCAATCAAATAATTGTATAACAGAAGCGATTCGGAAATTTATTCCACCGCGGAGGAATTTGCGGTTCGAAAAATCAATTTTAAGTTTCATAATCATTCAATTGAAATAGTAGCAAATTTGGGAATTACTACGAAAAATGGGAAGGCGTGAGTTGAAACTTTAAATCAAAACGAACTTTTTCACAAATCTTCTGCCGGACTTGACGTAATTTCTCATGTAAATGTAAGGTCTTCGCAAAGTAAGCCGGAAACTGAGATCTAAAAAGTCATCAAGTTTCCCTCGAGAGATATTTTTTTATTCTTACAACATCAATTCCAACAGATGTAACTACAATATTGAGCTTTTCAGAAACAGCAGCATCAGAAGGAGATTGACGGTTGAATGTGATAGCAATTTGTTGACATGAAGGTCCACTGTAGTGTCTACAGCATAGTGTTCTTGCTTAGTACTTATTCAATGGCAAACAGTGGGGGGGGTCTTCATTTTTTGAAAATATGCGTACCGGGTCGATGCGGTGTTCATCGAACGCACTGTGGATAAAACTAGATCTTCTCGTGCCACGTGTTGGGTATACTTTATGCGTTTAGACTATCTGTCTGCTCGCCCCTGTTAGAGCGATAACACCGCCTTCTTTCCGATCAGCTGTCATTGATAGTATATGGTGCCACAAGACATCGACGCCAGGAGAGAAAGATATCGAGCAATCACTAATTCGCTAGTCGAAGACTTTCAAGTAAAAATGGCAATTCAGCATTAGCAGTATTGCAAGAAATACCAACTCAAATGCGGTGCATTCTACTTAGAAACTTCTCGGAAAATCCATTGCCATGAACGAGTGAATACGCCTCCAAATAGCACTGCTGTATTCAGATCAACTTATGTGGTACTCTCGAGGACCTCCCAGAAAAGACGTGAACCTCTGAATTACAGTATTAGATCGGACACACACAATTGCCAAGTTCTCGAGTTGACTGCCTCATGTACCGAGAGAATCATATATAACGGAATCCATCGCTTATTTGACTCTATCAATTCGCCCAACGAGCAATGGTCATCCGCCGATTCATGAGCATTATCGATTCCGCCGATGGGAAGGACTCACCTGTCAATAAGGCTGCTCTTCCATTCAGGAGTCCTGACATAAAAGTAGTCACGATTATACTGTGACCATCGGGAATGGTCATCAGGCTTATGGTTGAACCTGCGTGGAAAGATGAAATCATCATATAAATGTAAACTGCGCTCGACTTCCTCAGGAAAGTTTGAGCGGACCACGTCTCTGAGATGTGTGCTACGGACGAATTTCAATCACAATGAATAATTTTGATGACAATATTCTCGCAATGAGCACGATTGTATGGGACATCATTGTGTTCACTGTAAGATTTTTCCCAGCATGTACTCATTTACTTATACAGAATCAGACAGTCAAATTCAGCCATCGTTTTTCCACACATGCGGCCAATGACCATAACACTATGTTCAACTCCTCCAAAAACCCGGATTCCTCGCCAGATTAAATCTTGCTGTATACATACGACCACTTGTAGTGATTAATTTCTCATCAAATTGTGGGTCATAAGCCTCAACGATCATCACGTAAAAACCTAGTCAATGCGACACCACTGCTAGCCAGCAACTAAAACACTATGCACTAATCCCGTATAGTAAGATTCATAGAGATGCGATGAAGGAAGACCGCCACAGTGATATAAACTCACGCCATGTTTTCCATTATCATGATGGGCAGCGCCAATATGATACTGTGCGTACCGAATTCTTGCGTAACAGAAAGGAGACGACTCGAACTGAGGCAAACCGACCTTGAACGAGAAACGACGCTACGATGTTCAGATCTCAGCAAGTGAGCTCTGAACATCGTGGCATCAATTCTTGAGCCTCACCTTTTTCGTCTCCAATAACTGCCAGCGTCGCCTTGAACTTTATCATATCCCTGGATCACATCCGCGCCGAAGCCCGACTGGTCATGCTCATAAACGCAGTTGACTGCTGCGCACTCCACAGGGGAAGCATTCACCGGCTCGCGAGACTTCAACAACGTCGTGAAATAATCCAACTGAAACGACATCAAACTGGTGGAGGAAATGTTCCCGTACTCACCGAATCAGATCGCTCGTTATAAGTGTATCGATTCCACTCGGGCCAAGCCCAGTGTGCACGTCGATCATCGTAGTGTGTCCATCGAATACTCCCACATCTGTCAAGACCTGCGACAATGGCAATCTGGAAGCGATGCATAAGCTAACCAAGTTTACTTCAGTCATTATTTCGTATGATCTTTGCAGCTTCTGACCGCCATAAAACAGTCCGGAAGGTTTCGTATACTGTGCACTAACCACCGCCCGCTTCACGTGGCTGATACCGTACCTGAACGAACTCATCCATAACGACAGCAGAAGGAATTCTATTCAGCGGCAGTAACTCGAGTCACGTGGTCTCACTTTCCAAGGAATAAAATGCTATTATATAGGAGAGATAACAAAGACATGTCGTGTGGGTTCAATATTGGATCCAAATCGATGTACCTAATTTTCAGAGAAATCCGTGGTCGGAGCAACTAACCCTGAAACCATACCCGGCAACATTCGGATCTCGCTCGTTGATGAGATAATGAAATTCATGAGCGTCAAGACCATTCCTGTTGAGGTCGACATTCTCCTCGTTGAATCTCCTATAATGAGCCATTCCATAGGGATTCATGGCGTGAATGAATACCTGAGGAGAGCAAGAGTTACGATCCATAGACTAGGCGACCTCTTATAGCTCTATTGTAGTTGAGTCAGAGAAGTTTCAGACTTTTTGAATGTTATTCTCACAGAGAACTGAGTCCTGTGATAAGCCTCTCGCCACAGACTATGCCAAAAACTCCAGTCGAGCGCCCCTGATTTGACAAGTTATTGATCATGAGAGAATAACATCATTACTGGGGCGGCATCGCGTGATAGTCTTACGGGTGACACGATCATTCAGATGTTCCTTTGCCACTGTCAGTGACTCACTGATGTCGCTTACACATATACACACCTTGACCTTTCAGTAGATAACACAAGATTAGTCGTTGCGCCGCCACCTCACGGGTCAGCTCGAGCACTGCTTCATGATCGTCAGAGTCTAGTCCTCTAGTCATGACACTGGGGTCAGATGAATGCCCTGATGTGGTAGACTGACGCATGGGCCTCATATCCTTTTTGATGGTACTGAAGCTCCTCTCGGAGGTGGCTGACTTCGTCGCTGCAACCAGTGTGATAACAAAGCAGTGATAACAAGGATAAAAAAGCAGTAATTTTGTAGTACAAAATTTGTGCCTTCAGAGTACAGCGCAAAGGCCGCCGTCACAATGGTATTGACGATAACTCACTTACCAATCCATGAGATGCATGCCGAGACATTCCGGATACCCTCAGAATTGGTCTTTTTTTCGGTCTAGAGGTAGAAGTGGAACAGCAATACTCTCAGGTATTACTAGTGGCACTAGTCTAGTGCAGGTATTACAAATGGTATTGCAGGTATCACCAATGTCTATGGCTTAGTAACTAGGCCCTAGTAAAGCTGGCCATTGCCCAGTGAGAGGCGGGACCATGCAAGAAGCTTCCTCAAGGAGGTTCTTTGGAGTAGTTACATCGTTGATGAACAACAGTCTGCGATCAAAGGAAATTCAGCATCTTTCTACCAACAAGGAAAATAAATAAACCGGCTAGCCAGATTAGCCAAGCCTATCTCACCAAAGTTTTATTCATTGTCTCCAAGCGTCCCTCACCCCTGGCCCTCCTAATTTGGTCTAGTAGATAGCATTGTATACCAGAACCAGCATATCCCTCCACACCGTGAATTCCAGACGTGTGGACAACGCTTCCACTACTCGCTCCTTCCACCCGTAGAATCGCCACATCCATTGTGTACTCTTCACCATATTTGCTGGAAGGAATTATTTCAAATGTCTTCAGCTCGAAGCCGGCATCACGCGCCAGTCTCCTAAACCTCGCTCGAGCTTCATAGTAACTGGTTACCGAAAGTGCTGCAATATATGTTCGATTTCCTCGGCCGAGCTCGGGGGTTCCCTCACTATCGATAGAACTTAGGTTAGAAAAAAAAACTAAAACCATCAAGAATTTCCCGAAATTGCCTCAAAATCTTCGAATCCACTATAAAAATGTCGACATAAGTTACTGTCACCAACACATGTAGTTGATCATATGCATATATCCCAACACTGATCTCCGAAGACATACAGCCGACCGGAACCGATTCCGAGCACAACTCATTAGCAGCATGTACATGGTCCTTACTTTTCCGAAAAGAAGCATTCGGGTCGGACGCTGCCATCGGAGCCACCCGGGCGGAGGTCGCACAAAGGACGATAGTAGAACATGGGCTTCCACGTTACGTCTGCTACGAACCTTAGCGTGGAGTCACTCGCAGATGCAAACGAGATCACGACTGACTCACAGTAAGAATGATACGCTCACGGCCAATAGCGCAACTGCTAACGCTGTACAGATGTATTTGAGTTTGGTCATCTGGGGGGCGAGAACTGGAAAGAAGTAATAGGATTTAGATATAATTCCTCACTCATGTCAGCCGTTGATCAAAGTAAAATATTTACTTCAGTCAACACGAGCCAAGATGTCAGCTTACAAGCGAAAATATAACGTTGAGCAAACGATTGGTATCTATCAGTGTTGTTGAGTCAACTGAGGTGGCCACCACCGAGACCGCGTCGTCGCATTCGACAAGGGCTCTTCCTCCTCCACTATCTCCAACAGTTTCGGCGATTCCTCCATAAATTCATCCAAATTCGCCCGACGCGCTTTGAACCACTTAACGATGATATACAGCTCGAGAGGAGCATGGAAGATGAATGTGAGCTTGTAGGTGACAAAGGCCTCAGCCACGTCCCAGGCAAGGACTTTGGGAGGTATACGGAACATTCTGGCTACACTGCGCCACACCCAAGCCTGCGAAGCTCGTTCCGCGAACTTGTCGCTCCACCTGAACAGAAACATGGCGAAATTTCTAACAAAAATCGTAAAATCGATGCAAAACGCTCTCTCGTCCTAAAATGTGAAAATTTTCGATCCATATCTCTAAAACGTCACGATACAAAAATCGCTTCGCTCCGCCTACTCGAACACCTTCCTCCCCCATGTAGAACTCGACTGCTGTTCCTTGAAGCCCCTAAAGCGGCCCTTCCAACCCGCTTTCCGCAACGCCACCATTTCCTTCTGTCGCTCAAGCCACGCTCGTTGACGAGCTCGCGTCGCCGCTAGCTTGAGTCTAGCCGTCTGAGGCACTAGCCCAAGCCCACCACTGAAGCCGCCACCACTAACAGCAGCACCACTCCGACCATGTCCTCGCACTTTACTGCGCAGCCTATATTGTTCCAGCATCCTCCCTGCAAGCTCCCGAGAAGGGTGCCAGAAAAGACGTCTAATAGGCTGCACATAGTGGCAAGCTGGGACGAAGGCGGCCAGCGTTGCATACTTCACCACGAGGAAGGTGCCGGCGACTCCAGCAGCGTCTTGAGGCGTCAAACCGTAGTTCTCTAAGGCTCTCACAAGACGACCCATGATGAGAAACGATCCTTCCCCTGAGCGGAGCGAAACAGTTATTGACTCAGCATTGATATCGCTACGAACCCAACTATGATCAATGATGGTAGAAAAGGGATCCAAAATGAAAACTACCAATGAGGCTTCAGGAATCAAATATATCGACATGCGCTCTTGCAGTGTGACGAGACAGGCGAGTACCATGGTAGCATCTCAACGATGAGATAAATAGGGTCCACTGCTTTTACGTACAAAAAAAACTAAACTCGCTCCCCCGACGTTACAGGGATGTCCCTCGAAGAGTCAGTGCCTTCGTCTATAACTTTGTGGCACGCGTTCGGACACTCAGTGGGTCTTGTCACTGTAGTATCCCCACAACACGGATCAGCACTCTCTCCTACACTTTGCCGAACATTGCCGAATGCGAAATGACCGATCACAAGACCGATACAAACACATATGAACAGCTCACAGCTGTACGTCATGATAATTAGCATGGCGAGATAAGCCACAGCAACTGAGAGCCCAAAGCCCAAGGCACCCACCAGGCCTCTCAACAGGGACCTCCTTATATAACTTAAGAATCGTCGACGAGCTGCGAGGAGGCCTTCAATCAGAATTCCCAATACGACTGAAGCAATACAGCCGGCAGCAAATTTACCGGGCGTATCCAAAACCCAGGAAGGGATCAACAATATCACGCAAGGTTTCCGAGCATCTCCGGACCATGTGAAACCAGTCATGAACATCGCCGTTGACCCCGAGCAAAAAGCACTAGGATTCACAGTGGGGGTTGGCGCCTGCTGGGCCTGGCACTCCACACGACATTGACGGTCCATAACACTGGGGTCACAGGAGTGGTCGCTCGACGGGTCGAAACAGACTGGGCGGAGACCTGCACTACACTCGGCTGCCATACACTGCATCCAACAGTATATCTCGCCATCACCACAGGCCGTCACTGACATACAAACGATCAATACTGACTTACAACTGGTCTAGATATGGAAGAATCCACTCAAATGTAGCTTATCAAGACCCATGCTCAGGACCTGTTGTATCGAGTCCGATCAAGCGATACTAGATTCTATAATAATCATTTTAAAACACAAAAATACTAATTATAACTTCCTACATGATAACCAATAACCATACTAACGCCAACTGGTGATAGTTGCCCTATTTCCGATAGCGAAAAATTCTCCCGTGAGCCCTACCCAATCGCCTTTTAGCTTCGACCACCTCCTCGGTGTCGGTGGATCTAGGCGTCACCACTTCCTTGTTCCACTGTGAATACGTCATCGATGGTGACAGGCTATTGCTGACAGCATCGGGTGGTAGTAGGAACATACGGCCAATGACCACTCTGGTCGCCGGGCCGTGTGTCATCTTTACACTGTGGGGCAGGGGGCGAACTCGAGGAGTCGTCCCTAGCAGTGTGACGTTGAAACCATGCCATCCTATGCGCACTCACCAGTAAACTTCGCCAGAGTATTTCCGAAGAAAACGACGATCCGAACACCACCGTGGGCCGGTATATGAAGCGGGACCTAGCACATCGTCTTTCCAGCGACGCAAACGTTAGTGAGGACCTCCTCATCCGTCTCTAAATCAATGAAGTGAAAGCTCGAGTCGCCAGGAGGTAACACCAAGAGAAGAAATAAGCCTTGGTCAACATGCAGGGGCGCAGTATGGTTCAACTGAGTACAGAATACAGTGTCGCTTCCATCGCGATAACTTTTTGGGAAATTTTGGGACGGATTCCGGCAGTGGAGACTATGTCGAGTGCCAGAAAATCCAGGAAGTTGTAGGTAACTACCACTTCCACGATAACTACCACAATCCGGATGAGCCTTGAGGTAGGAGTTCCACCTCCATGCTTTTCCCGTGCGCCACGAGATCCCCGTTACTACACTCGTCTCCGCAACGTCTTTTTGAGAGCGCCTATATATATGATAATGATCGAGATGACTGCTTCTGCCGAGCTCGATAAGCTTCTTAACAGTATCGGCCTCACCAACTGGATGCTCTATATGGAGACCCTAAGGTAGTCCACTGCGTAAGAGCTTCCTTGGCAGTACCAACCCGATCCATAGCTCCCGCTACTCTCTGACCGACGTGGTCAAGGGTGGTGTGTACATCCCGCCTCGCCTGGACGGTGGACACTGGGCACGCCCTATTGCGGAGGAAAGCCGGACTCTCATCGGCCGAAACTGAAAGCAATCACCACTACTACATTAGTAGTACTTCTACCATCGTTATGCGGAGTTAATCACAACGATGATGCTCAATGAACGTCGATACGCCTCAAAAATCCCAATAGCGTGCCCTTCAGTTCGCGTCGGAGGACACAGAAAAACCACCATAAGAATTCTCCACTACCTTGAGCGAGAGTAGTTCGAATCGTTCCGTCTCCCATAACATCCTCTCGACCACCACTGCACAGAGGGAGCGCCTCGGCTAGAATGGATTGCGCCTCGGTGAAGGATGGCGGTAAAGACTTGATTGCGAGTATACCTGTTGAAGAAAGATCATCCAGGCCGCTACGAAGAACCCTGAGACGCCTAGGGGTGGATGCGGACGACCTCTCTCGAATTGATGCTGTCAGACTTCGAGAATTCCTCGGAATTTCAATTTCGCCCAAAATCCACTCAAAACCGCCTACCCTGTCCAATGACAGCTTGGAGAATATCAGCTTGTACAGAGGAAGAGTGAAGGGAGTCATAAGAGACTTCCAAAAGAGACCGAGAGAGCACAGCGAGAGGCATTATGGTCATAATGAAGGGGATCGACATGTGACCAAAAGGGACTTCGAGGGAGTAATTAGGACGGATGAAGTCATCCAACGGACCTTTCGAGGGTATACTTCCTAAGTCTGGGGGAGGGGCGGCTATGCCACAGCCTCAAGACGTCTCAGTAGAAACGATTTATCTTGGGGCAGCTATGCCACAGCCCCAAGATATATCTCAGTGCAATCAAGTTCCCTTGGGGGACGGCTGTGCCCCAGTATATGTCTCAGTACAATCAATCTCTCTTGGGGCGACTATGCCACCGTCCCACGATCCCTGCGTACAACCGTTTTTTCCTTTTTTTGGGGCACCTATGCCACAGCTCCAAGATATGTCTCAGTTCTATCAATTTCCAGGAACACGAGATAGATCAGCTCTGGTTCTAGTGATCCTCCTCCCCTGCAACCAAACAAGTACATATCAGTAATAGCACATCATCGAGCCAGTCGACTAAAGGATGTGGAAAGGGCCTAGGACTTGCACGTAGCCACATGCCGCCAAAATCTCGGGCCAGGTGTCCGATCAGCTAGTACTACATCAGTAAGTCACCGACAACTCGCGTCTGGCCCATCGCCCAGCTCATTGAAACAAGAAAAATGTCAACTATTCCGAACTCGGCGCTCCACGTCACAGAACTTATCAAAAACTCATGAGCGACCATGCTCGAGTGTATAGTCCTTATCTACTCTCACACGAGCGAGTAACCAGAAATTTATGAAGGGATGACGTACTTCCATTGTAATCCAGTTATACATGCCTGATATGCAATTCATATATGTGAACATATAGGGATTGCCTATGTATTCACGTATAACTCCCCATATAACCGGTGGATTCATTCCGTCCCACAAACCCAGCGAAGGCGGACTTGACGGACCCTCGCCAATTGTTATGCCTCCGCCTAACAGGACACTGTCAACGGGCTTCACGGTGAAGCCTTCACCAGTCGTCAGTGCATCATTCTGTTTCCACAAAAAACAGGCTTCACCAGTAGTCCGCACATGTTTGTTTCTGCGTATAGGCGAGCGCGTTTGACGGTTCGGCGAAACGCCGTTAGCGGCCGTGATATTGTTCCTGACTAGTCTTACTCTCTGGCGGGAGGGGTTCTCACCTCATTGAAGCCTACATATATGTGAACTAACGTAAACTTTACGCCGTGAAGTAGCTAGACCACACTTATCGAGTTGGCCAAGCTTGGCTTTGGCATCTCACGTCGCGTCACGGCTCTTGTAGGTCCCTTGAGGGTAGTCATGAGGCAGAGACGTCCGGTTCCTGAGGCCGACGGCGCGAAACCGCCCATCTGCAATCTCGAGAGTATACAAGGTTGCCCCGACCACTGATCCTCTTATTGGAAGGCACGTTATGGGTTGACCAAGATCTCCGTCGAACAGAAAGAATTACGGTATTACAAATGCTGCAGCACTAATCAACTACCATCGTTTCACCGAGGCTTTGACAATGACTGTGTTGTGTTGGCAGAGGACATCTTGTGAGGTGATCCCTATCCCTCCAGCGTTTTAAACTATGATGTTCGCTATCCATGGTCGAGCGGCTTCCTCGTCCCTATCATTGCTCATTCTCACCGGTCTATTCTCACTCAACTCCGCCAAGCCCATCACGATCTCCTCGGATAGTTACTTCCTTCATCGTATCAAACTTGACAAGATACTACTCTGTCCCACAGACATGGTCGAGACCGCTCGCAACGCCACTAATTGGCCCGTTGATTCCGTCACCATCCCTGACGACTCACGCTGTATGACCTACAACGATACCTTTAAATACCCTGTAGGAACTATCATGGCTGGTGACCATCGAGACTGCCTCGGTGAGCTTATCAATGGGGCTACTCTGACCATGCGGAAGCTCGGGGTAGATCCTTTCATGACTGGAATGTCTTTGGCAAGTTGGTATTTTCATTTTGGAGAATTGCCCCCGTGGGTGAACTTTGCTGAGGCTGGGATGGACCGGAGTCAGTGTGAGTCGGCGTTCGCTGAGATGCACACTAAGAACAGCAGTATGAAAAGTTTTGTTGAGGCCCTTCAGTCGGTGCTCCCGCCGGGATTTGATATTTTTCCGATCAATAATGGTACCGTTGAGAAAGTCGGAGACGTCCGTGGTTGCGATTTGTCGGGGATTAACATTCACTATAATTCTGGAGTGGCTAAGTGTTGGGGGAATATTTCAATGTTTTCCCACTCAACGCAGCACCCAGGAAGATGTGATTGTCGTCCCTTGAAGGACCCAAGCATTGGGCCTCTATCTTGTCTTGATCTGCACCCAGAAAGGTGTATGAGGAGAGAGGATATTTTCCCACTCATGCGAACATATTTATCCGTTTATTACAACGCACTGGTCCCACAGAGGCTTCAAATGGTGACTGTAGTAGAGAGGAGTCTTGCAAGCACCGCAACGTCTCTTGAGAGGGTCCCAGGCAACAGGTTTATCGGGTGGTCAGCTGTATGGGATGCCCCTAAGAATTACCAAACTTGGTGGATCAAGTTTGCTATCTCTGTACTTTTCGGTCTGACTGTTGTAACGATGGCGTACTTCCAAATACGAGGGCGAAAGAAAATGCCCGCTTATGATGTTGAAGATAAAGAGGATGATGAGGAGATGAAATATATAGAATAGTACCCTCTGGATTTTTAGAATGATGAGGGAAAGAATCATCCTTTATGGTGTATTTTGCTTACGGTTTTGCAGGATTATTCTTGTTGGAGAAGTGAAGTAGCATTTAGGTTGGGTTTCCACCCACGCCGCTAAGTTACTTTTATAGTATGCTACTTTTGCGTTGGCAGTTGTTGATTCGAATTCGGTGTGGGAAAATATGCACGTAGTCAACTACATGTGTAGGTGGCATTTGTGGAAATTTTGAGGAAATTATCATTGGTTCCTGTACGCTTTCACCCGAATTTGTATGTAAACTTTCATAGTTAGCGAGGGAACTTTTGGACTCAGCTGATACGAACATTTATTCCAAAACTGTTCGGAACAATAGGGTATGAATACGGCATACACAGCGCCATGCAGTAGCATATATAGTATCCTCATAAACTGCTGTAAACGTCGATATGGAAAGGTGTCGATCACTTAGACTATCTTGGTCTTCAAGGGTATTCGAAGTGAGTCTACGTTCAACTGCTTAGATCACAACCATCGATGCAAACTCGACTACGCCGTATTGTTTATGTTGGACGCGACCAAACACAGCTCAGTAACACAGGAACGAGCGGTTATAAAATTCCACATTTGAACCTCCGATAAGATCCTCACTGCTAGGCTCCTGGAGAGACCTCGTTAAATACTATAGATAAGAGTTTTGCCAACTATCTGCTCTCCAGAGGTCCATGAGGGACGGATGCCTCATCTCGTAGATGGTAGTCACTCCGTAGCGCTCTCAATACATCACTCACAAGTGTTGATATTGATGCTGCTGAACCACGGAGTGACAGCATCTCGTGAGGCGCTAATAGTGAGGTGGTTTTTGGACCTGCCATTCTGAGTTGAGGGTATGCCGTACAGAGGCACATTCCTGGTATTTTATCACGTAAAAGTCTGTATGTTATCCTCATATCTTTGGTCCTCGCCCGCCCGACCGTTTTGCTCTATACTATCTCGTAGCAGCATGATCAATTGAGCAAGGTTAAGGTTTGATCTCTCTCCTAAGGGTGTGTTGAACGATGATCTGGACAACTCTCCCGACACGGCTAACGAGTCTGTAACGGCCAATGCGCATTGTGTTTAAAATAGGAGAATATTCTTTCAGGAAGACTCTTGACGCACCATCTCTCAGTTCCATTTTACTGAAATTGACCTCCGATTGATCAGATTGGTCCTGTTGGTCCTAGTAAGGAAGCTTTTCACCACTTCTTAGTAAACACAACAACACAGACATGAAGGTTGCCTCATTAAAGGCTGTTGTCTTCGATAAGACTATTGGCAGCATCATGAGGGAGATAATCGTTCAGTGAGGTAAGGCCAGTTCTCTACAAGATTCCTCTCAATGGTAGCGTAAATGCAAAATAGTGTACCAGCATACAGACATCGCATGCCCATATCTCGGAGCATGATCCTACTGGGTCGCACCCTGAAAAGGACCATGTGAGATCTCCAACTTGGACGAAGGTAGATCTTACGAGCCGTCCGGTGTAGTAGTGAGGTACTGTCGTCGGAGGTAGGTTGTCGCGAGGGCGACTCGCTGTATACGGGTGGCCTGTCGAGCCTCCTTTGATGTGACGAAAAAATTATAAACTTGATTGAATGGCATCGATATGGCACCTAAAGATTCAACGAGGATTTGAATCGACGACCTTACGACTCAAAAACGTACAACTTACCACTAAGACATGATGCCATAAAATCCGACAGCATGCGAGAAGCCTGGGGGTTGCGGACAACTTTGCACATATGTTCATCCAATGGCGCTGCAAAAACACGCATACCGCACATTCCCAGAGCGTTCCGTGTCGCGTGCATCTAAAGCAACAAGCTGAAGTCAACCATCGTAAATATCCGCTCCTTACAAAAGCGCCGGGACCGATGGGCTTGTAGGCTGGCGTGAGGTTAGTGAGACGATCCTTCCGAGGAACGTACTGGTTGTAGGCAACTTCCGCGTTCCTCGTATTGGCGCCGTATGTGATAGCAGTCTCAGTGACAGCTGAGGTGAGCTGAGACTCAACAGGGAGTCGGCAGCGGCTTACCAGTGCAGACCAGAGCGCCCTGTTGACCGAGGAAGCTGGCGTAAAGATGGTACATAGGCCCTAGCACCTGGGGGAAGGCGTACAAGGGGGGGGAGACAGACGATGAGGCGAGGATTACGCAGAATTGTGGTATGGCAGGAATGCTCGGCCAGAGACCGCCGACCCACCCACTTCGAAAGCCATGAGTGAAGCAGCGCCGATAGAGACCTGCCATCGTCGACACCTGCAAGACTCGTGAAATACCAGAGCCGACTCCAGCGTCTACCCGGTCCTGGGCGGCCAACGTCAAGCCATTTCGTAGTGGGGTGAGGGTGAAAATAACGAAGGGACCTCCCAAGGAACCTATGAACTGCTTATTCTAAGCACAGTGTAGCTGCTACTACTACCTGATACCAACAGGGCGGTATCAGGTACGTACTGCTTCCAGATGGGAGGACTGTTGTGGGCTGACTCAGTGCTATGCGGGGAGGGCCGCCCCGCGCTGGGCATGCGCTTCACTGATCAAGCGATAGAGAAAGCCCTGGCAAGGAAAGGGTATGTAAGATTCGGTGCACTGCGGATTCGTCGCTGAATTTCGTGGCGCGCGACAAAATCAGCTCCATCGCGATGTTGAACGTTGCGTTCCTGCTTTCGTCCGATGACCGTCGGTAGCAGCGAGGAAGGTACCAAGGAGGACCTCTGGGCGGTCTACATAGGGGGATGGGTCGAGATAGAAGACAAGGCATGTTCTGGCAGTCATTGAACTACTCTGCACGCGTGCGTTAATAGATACTCTCTTTTCTAGCCGTGCCGAGGTCTTATCTCAATAACCGTTTCCGATGGAACTACTACGACCACCAGATAGCAGCGAGCAGATCAGCAGCCCAGGCCAACACCCTTTGTAGGGTATCAAGGTGCTGAGGGGTAATCGTGGTAAACATCGAGGTCGACAGCGGACCTTATTTGTATCTTTACGACGAAGATACTTTTGTGAGCGCCCTATAGTTCTATATGTTCCAACCCCAACGGAGGACCTTTTCTTAGAGGGACATTGTCTTTTATAGCGACTCTGAATGTATCTCTTCGTTCTCAATCTCCTTGGCGGCCTCGTGATATACGAGCCTACTGTGGATAGCAGGTACTTCTCGGAGCACCTTTTTCGGTATTCTCGACGGCCCACAGCGTGCGCTATGTTTTACTCCGACTTGGCTATCACCAAGGCACACTCTTCCTCACGTATGAGGCGATCAAAGGGATTGGGGCGGTCAAGGATTCACGGCAGTTATGATAAGGAAAATAGTACTGACTGTTGGACCTATCCCGTATCTTGCCAGTGTCAACCTAAGATTCTTTTGGAGTTTTGCTGGCTACTTTAGGTGAATTTACCTGTCCGTTCCTGAAAAGTGACAGTAGTGGAGAGGAGGACTATAGCCCTACCTCCAGCACATGGAGTGGCACGCAAGTAACGATACTTCTACTGCGCTTGTGTCAACTCGGTACCCGGTGGCTCTACTGATCATAAGGGGAAGGAGACCTCAATACAGGGTATCTGCCAAGGAGCGTGATCATGGAAATGGTTGTTAGCTCGAAATGGAGTCGCTTGTAGTGGGAAGTAGAGTCGGTTCGTCGCCATATGTGTATTAAAACCCGGATCGACCACCATTTCGTAGGTATCCGCTGACCGTCCGGTCCACAACCGCTTTTGCTGTTCCAGCGGGGGTAGTAGCAGAGTCCGTCTACTACCTCGTCCCCACAGTCGCTGTGTGTTCCCTTAGACCCATTCGATCGAGCTTTCGCTCATCGTCAGGCCTTGGAGGCTATGCTCCAGCGATGTGCGATCCGCGGTCCGGCCCAGCGGGTTAATTTTTATGGTTGTACTATGTTATCCGATCTGGAACTCAGCCAAATCGTATGCCTCTGTCAAGAAGTGCTCACCCATCTGGATCTCTTCGACTGCTCCTCGCTTTCCTCGGTGGAGGTCCTTCGTCGAGCTCCTCGTCTTGAGCATGTGAATCTTCGAGGTCTGGACCAACTTAGTTGTCGAGCATTATGTGATTGGTTGGGCTCGTCTCGTGTCTGCAATTTGCAGTATTTGAACTTGAGCGGCGTCTCGGACTGCAAGGATGAGGTGTTGGCGACTATTAGCAGAAGTAGGGTATCCCAGAGCGTTCAGGAGTATACGTTGCTCGGACATGGTGACGGACTCGGGCTGGTGGTGCTCATCGAGGGGTGTCCTTGTTTGAGGGCACTGGATGTAGCTGCTAACATGGGAGTGTCCGATGCAGCTTTGGACACTATCGTGACCCATGGGAAAGCCCTACAGTGGGTGGATTTGAGAGGCACGTCAGTCCAGGATGAGTCTGTGGCGACGCTGTTGGCGTTGAGACCAAACTTGGGGGTATCGTGGATGAGTCAGGGGAGTGTAGCGGTAGTGTTGGGCGGTGGTGATGAAGGGGTAGTGAGATAGTTGACTGCATGCTAAATTCAGTGCGAGAGACGTCTTGATCATTATCAAGAAAAAGGCCTCTTAAAAAAGAGCGTGTTGTGTTTGAAAGTAGTAGGGTGGGAGTTTTGTTATGAATTCCGTGGCGCAGTGACGGTGGGTCCTCACTTAGCATTTTTTTGTCTCGGTTAAATTACTATGCTCGGTCCGAGCGGGACAAGCATAGAGGCAACATCAGGGCTGCCTCTACCATCCAATGGATCTACTCCTCTGGATATGCTTTTTGCGTCAGTCTTAGAAAACGATCCCCTGGCGAGGTTACAGGGAGAGTGGCACGGTAGAGAGGACCACAAGGTCTATAAGGTAATAGAGACCTCCTGGCGGCAGCTTGTATCATCGTTCGTGTCAGGTCCAGGGAAGAAGTGTCCATGTGTCGAAGGACGGTGTCCCTTTGCGGACGTACGACAAGTTATTGCAGCATAAGGAAGGTATTATGGCAGGGCTCATCCTCGGTTCGATCGATTTTATGATGAGGCATGCAAGCGAAATTTACATGAGACTGTGAGAAATGAAGTGGCTCGGGAAGAGTTTCGTCCGGGTTGCTCCATTTCGCGATACGAAAGAGTCAGAGGGAAGGGTCGAGTTTAAATCGATGAGACACATTAACGAGGAGCGTTGAAATGATGATGCAATTGCTCATCTCTCCACCAAGGTAGGACAGGAGTTGGAGGGCGGGTATGCTCTTCCGATATGGACCGCGCGCTCCAATGTGCATCTCATGGGCTTTCATGCGAGCTCTCAGAGCCCTATATATCATCTCATCGCAGTAGTTGACGAGCTCGTAGCGCATTGGAGGGTTCTGATTCAGAACTTCTGAGTGCTGCTTGCCCGATCAGCGACTTGGTGGGATAGTCCCTCCCGGAGAGAGGGGCGTTAAAGCTGGAATGGGAAAGCTGTTGTTGACAGAGGAACGAGTAGGGCAGTCAGCGGGGCGGTATTGTGACGAACACGCTGCCTCTAAGCTGAGCGTCAGCAGAGGGAGTCCAGACCGGCACTCAGTTGAAGAAGTTGCCATCGGATATGGCTGACCTGGAATGGCTCCGTATAAGGAATACCTTAGTCTCCTATGGTTCTCTGCACTCGTCCAGGGACAGCCAGTCTGGCTTGCTGAGCAGAGCATGGGCCATCTAGGCCGCTGGGCCTCACCAGCCGACAGAATCATAGACCAGTGCTCGCGACGAGCAAGCGGATGTGGCGATAACAGAAGGGCCTTAGTCGGCTTACTAGATTCGGTCAGGGTGATTCGCGGAGACAATCATCAAGCGTCTGTCAGCCTATTGTCAAGATTCAGAGCCCCCTGACTAACACTCAGTCAGCGACGTTGTTAAGACAGCTCGATGCTTAGTATCAGTCGCTGGAGCTCGCGGCTCGTGCCGTCCGTATCCGGGCTGAGGAACCTGGTATTTCGTCGTAGCGGATATCCTGCGGAGTGTGTATGTATGTTGGTGCGGGGTCTGTCTCGGTCAGTGACGCTTTGATTCCACGAGATGATAAGGAAGAGGGACCCTCAGGCAGTAGACTGTTTACTGGAAATGACCCCACATCGAATAATCCGCGGTGGACCTCGGACAAGTGACGTGTCACGCCTCGTGTTAGACAGCGCGTGCTCAATATGGTCGAGATAAATGCGACTGGGGAAACAAGAGAATCTGTGGGGTCTGAGCAGTCTTGTAGTTGTACTTTTACGGTCCTCTAGCACTAGAGAATTGTGTCGTGTCTACTGAGAGTATGATCCTGACAGGGATAGGAGGAAAGGAAAATTTGAAAAGATGATGGAACAGTGGAAGTTTCTTCTCTTCTTTCCCTCTAAGACGGCACGGCGTGGAATTCTCTCATCAGGTACCATTTACTGGGGCAGTACCGGAAGATATATTCTCGATAGTAATACTAACTTCGACCAGCAACCCGTCGCACTGTGCCTTAGGCTCCGAGTTCGCCGAGGGACGAGTTTCGTGGCGCGCGAAGCAGGGGTCGTCCTCTTTCTGCTGGGAGCGCCAATCAGATAGCCGCACCGGGGAAGCGGCTGTGCGACCTGACCTCGAAACGGTTTCTCCGAAGTTCGTCAAGATGAATGTAATACGGGGAAGAATGAGGTTTTCATGTTGTGAAAATTCAACAGTTGCTGCTGAACAGTATACATTCTATACTGTCGCCATGAGCTGACACCTCTTCTATACCATTGAAGAGGTTTCAGCTCATCACGACGTTTTTATGAGTGAGCAGGTCGTGTCGCACGTGTGTCTAGAAATGTTATAGATATCGTAGTTCCCCAAGCCCATGCCTGTGGGAATAGATCGTTTACCTGACATTTCCGCAAACGGCGCATTAGTGTTGTAGTGGATGGAGCTAGGGTCTGGTCACATGAGTTTTTGTAACTCCAGGAGGATCATTTTGAAGGAATTTCTCTGACACTCTTCGGATCATCTCTAAAGTTGAATATTTTCCTACTGAAAATCTGTGCTGTGGTTGATTGATTCGACCGGTTCGCCCCTCTCCTCGTTCAGACGAGTTCGCGTCGTTGTTTTCAGGATTTAGCAGAGATCGAAGGTCGAAAGCGTTGGTATCTACTGCCAAGCGCGAGAACTAATTATGTACATGTTCATATAAAGCCTATGAGAAAAGAAGTGAGGGGGAAGGGGGTCTTATCGTGTTGACCGATTGAGTCCTCGAGCGTATAGAGCAACTGTCGGTGTACTAAAATTATTGCTTCCACCTCGGCTGTAAGAAAGTTCGAGTGATAGGAGCTTGCGTTCTCTGCGAACTGCAAGAGTTATACAGTGTGGTCGATCATCGGGTGAAGAATATGTATTCGAATATGTGCGAGTCTACATATTTGATGGGGGGGAAAGTTCGCAGTTGTCGAATTTTACGTGGTGCAGAAGCTATGCCAATGTGGAAAAATATTCACATGCTCACCAACATCTGTTGGTGTTAATATGATAATTCTGAGGAAATTTTTGGAAATTCTTGTTGGTTTTTGAGTATTTCTACCCGGAATCGTGTGCAGACGATTCCTATGATGAGTGAGAAATCTACTGAGCTCAGCTGAGGAAAGCTATAACATATACTACAACACTGAGCATTGCTAGGCTTCTCTGTACTCTACTGTTGGACTCGATACAATGGGATAGGTCGTCGTATATATTGCGTAAGATTCAGTGGGAGATCGTGGAAAGCAGTAGTTTCACGTCTCATGTAGTTGATATAGGCATTGATTTCACTTGGACATTTATATACACGCTCATGAGAAGTATCTTAGCATACAGCGCGTAAGATTCAGAATAGGTCCGTGAAGTGTCCATTTGCTGATATAGCATCATAGCTCTCCGATCGATTCTCACCTATTGAGTTTACGCATGTGTTAGGTCACGACATGGTGGAAGCTCCCGTCTAGTGTGACCAACTACGTTCACTTGGCGGACCGGCGTTCCAAGGGCAGTGTGTTCCGTAATAACATGCCGTGGATTTATCGTTTGTGTTTTTATGCAACTTTCCCAGCGTCAATTTTTCGTTGTTCCATCAGGAACGGACCATGAGATCCTTGCCCACCTTTGTAACCGACCAGCTGACGACGATGACGCTGCCTCGACACATGCCTTGCGACGAGTGGACGAGGCGTGGTTAGATGCAGACACGGTACGATTGGGCTCATTCCCCTCAGTGGTCTTCGTGTATGGTCTGATTTGTCAGGCGGCTACTGCGGATTTATCCGCGACTGATAGCCTTGAATGGGACCAGTTCAGAGTGAACGAGGAACGGTTTGGGTAGTGACCGGGTTGGAAGTTGTGGATGGAGTGGTATCAGAGTTGGGTTTTACTGCTAATACTACAGGGTGATCTATACAAGGCTTTGTCTAGCGGGTTATATCAAGGGCTTCTGCGAGTACTGCGAAGCGTTGGACCTTCTATAGCCGGAAACTCTGTCAGCACTCTGCCGTATTTTCTCTCGCCCTTTGTGTGCCCTTTTTGCAGCATCCTGTACATATGGACTTATTGTGAATCTTCTTCAGAGTTCATACGAGCTTTAATTGGAAATTGTATACTACGGATGTGCCGAAGAACCTCAGCAGTGCGCAGAGGTCGAAGGCAGAGACGATAGCGAGAGAGATCGAAAAGGAGGAATCTCTTCGGGGAAAGTAGGCTTGGGATTATCACTGACCATTGGAGGTCCATATCGAAATCACTAGTGAAAAAGATGTTTCACGGTGAATATCGCGTTTTTCACCGAGTTTCACGCCACTTCACTTAAAACCGGTAAAGGTACGAAGATAAAACTTTTATTTTGAATTTGACCAGTTTTTCGGCTTTCGGGCAGAAACAAGTTCTGGTTCGTCGAATTTGAGATTGGAATTCTTAATCTGAACCTCTTGTATTTTCCCACCTCGATTCGAGAAGGATGACGCTGCTGAGAAGAGATCGTGACGAATTGAAAAAAGTTATATCCGTTACCAAGCACGGCTGGATGAGCTCGATCGTGAAGCAACGTTGTGGTCAGGAATGTCCTCAGAGGGACGGACGACGAGGAGGCTCTCTATGGCGCTGTTATTGGTACTGGTCGGTACGCTCAGCCCGAGGGTGGTATCATTGCAAAGGGCGATAATAAGACAACAACAGCAGCAGTGGTGACCTCTCGCCAACGGAGGAAGAGCTCACCTCAGGTAAGGGGAATAGAAACCGCTGTTGTTTTTATCCCATTGGCAAGTTTAGAGGTCTACGGACGTCACAGGGACGCAGTCGGTAGAGTCGGGTCTAGCTGTAGATGAAGGCGTCATTGAAACAGTGTTGGCTTCCCTCCAGGTAGGGGAGATTTTTGTTGTAATTATACTGATCGATTTGATAGGGACTTTATGTTGATAAAAAAGGGAAGCAGTATTTCATTGAAGGGAAAGACTCTTTTGCGATTGACGCCGAGACTGGGGCGAAGGGCGTGTCGAAGCCCTTGGTCGTTACTACCAAGACAGGGGATTCTGACACAGTGAGTGTTTTTCCGGGAATTTTAGCGGTGATTTTCTCAATATTTCTTCAGGTGATAGTGAAATGGGGTACCTCTGGATTGTATTCGTTTGAATATCCGTCGTCGTCGGAACAGTTGGTAGAGACGGAAGGCCTACCATCTCTTTGTGAAATCGTGTGGAAATCGAGAAGCGGCAACATAGGCGGCGTGTGGACAAGAGTCGACTCGACTACTGCAAGCTAACTACTGTGTTGTTGTCGTCGTCGTCATCTTTGATTGCACCTATTTGATAACTGTCGTTTGTTTGTTTCATTGCTCATCGACTAGTTCATTGGAGATTATACTACTCGCAGCATATAGTTTGCGTTCGTAGTTATGACGGCGTATTACACTCGATCTCACATACAGGGGACAGAGAATTATCCAGAAACCTATAATGTTCCCGGGGGAAGAACTCATTTTGAATTTTATACCTATGGCTAGGAACACATACTTCAATCAGTTTCCCATGTAAATGTCATCACATTAGGAACATTTTCCTCATTGTGATCAAACCCTGGGGAATGTTATTTCTCGAAGCTAGATGGGTCACTAACAGGGTGATGCAATAATAGGTCCACTACTCGTAATTTTTCAGCGTATGGGAGTACCGGATGAACTTGAAGTATGGAAGTGATTTGAATACAATTAAAAAGAGCTCGTCGAGAGCTTCCAAATGGTACCCGAGTTTGTCTGGTATTCACACGTGCTGTGAAATTGCCAGGGGGGGCGTCTTCTTGTATATTGATAAATGTTCATGTTGGCAACACGAAGCGTGCAAACTCCCTAACTAACACACTAGTCTAGCCATGTTCTTGTTGATGATAGACTTCAAGTCACGCCGGGGTCGTTCAATCAACCGATCCTGAAACTTATAATCGATTCCAGAATCGCTTAGTACGCGTTTAATACGATGCTGGAATCGATTTTGAATCCTACTGGCCTGATCAAACCGGACGTCGCAAGAAGACGACTTATGCAGCAGTCAATATCAGGGTAACCTACACTGCGCGCTGGTTACACATTCTTGGTAATAGTCGGAATACTTTTCTACCGCTGATATGTAAGTAACTCTTATTGCCTTCTGTCATTATCATCCGAGTACTTCCTAACGCCATACAGTATACACATATAATATGTGTAGAGGTGCACATAATATGTGCATGCTCGACTCCATCACCCTATGGCGTTCATGTATGAGCACAATATCTAAGGATTTGAAGACAATTCCTGAACTGTTACAGACCCATTGTCACAGATTGTTTGAATCCGAGATATCGACGAGTGGTATGTTTCGCATAGTGTCGATCTATATCCTCCGATTCAACTTTAGTATCAATTTGGTGAAATTTGGCTGTCGCTACTTATTCTCTCTCCTCAACCTCCCAGCCTATAGACTTACTATATCTTTACGCTATTCATTGCGTATTTGAGAAGAAGCAATCAGGTATACTATCTTTCAACTCCTCAGGAACACACTGCAAAACATGACATTGCAGCTTCGCACAATTCCGTGAAAGGTTCGTCGCATTTGCGAGAGTTTTCATAAACTCATTCTCCGTGTACAACGATAATCCCACCAAATTCACTCATTACTCGACAGACCTCAAAGAAACACTGGCAATAACGCTGCCGCAGGGGCAGCAGGAGCATGCCGATGCAATATACATGCTTAGTGAATTGACGACGATAATCAAGGAGTAATGAACATTGTAGATGGAGGCTTCGATGATGACTGTGGCATCGGCGATGGCGGACTACCTGCAATGACGAGCATTCAGACCAGACGGACCAACCAACCTACCTGTAGGGTAGACGGTAGTGAACTCCTTGGGCGGACTTCTGCCGTGAGGACTGTGGACACGAGTAACAACGCGGGCTATTCTGGCGGGTGGCGATGAGGTGTATATCATATCGACGGAATTGGCCTACAGGAAGACACTCAACGCTGGAATGCAACTGCCGCATTACGAGGAAACTAGTACTCCCCAGTGAAGAACGACGGCCTCGAGGCACGAATGAGCTCCTAGACATACCCTGAGGAGTAGAGGGGAATGAGAGTGGTCAGAAAGGGGTCCTTACCGAGGCAAAGGGATTCGACGGGGGTACCGGTATGGCGGAGTAGGTAGGTAGTAACACTTGTGACACACTAGAAGGCGATGGTGACACCAGCGTGCCTGTGGGAGGGTAGAGACGGGGAGGAGAGGCTGGTGGCGGTTACTTCTTATGAACGAGCTGCGTCGACCCACAACAGTAGGACTCGGAAAGGCGATAGAGCTTCGACGCTGACGGGCCATTGGGAATACTATAGACGACCTGAAAGCACGAATTTTACGAGTAGATGAGCGTTGAGGTGGGCTACCTTGTGAGGGAATCTCTCCTCGACGTATTGGGAGGTATAGGGCTCAAGTAGGGAGAGATAGTCGTGCTGTGAAATGGAGTTGGCTGCATCGTGTGGGAAGAGGTTGGGGAATGCTGATGACTCGACGACGGAGGCATGCGTTTCAAAACGGACATATCCTGACTATCGCGCGCCCAGGAATCAACCAGTGTCGTGATAGCAGTGCACTGATCATCGTGAACACAGATGATGAAGGACTCCCCATCGGAACTGAACCGGTTCATGTCGATCTGTTGCTAAGACAACGATTTCGCATACATCTGACCCCATTCTGAGTATAAATTCACATGTACATTTATACGAGTAGAAGCAGAGCCTCTAGAGGGTCTCAGCAACACTACTCCCTACAACATCGAATATGATTGCAAGCGATGGAGGATACAATTCGACTGAAATTTGAATACTTTGTTTTCACTAATACGAAGGCAATAGTCTGATGATCACCAGTAGTAATGCAAAATCTGATTCGGTATCTCACCAATGGCTGTAACGGGGGAGCTTGCGACGCTGCTGGGTTACAGTCTTTCACGGCGGCCTGTGGGGGAAGGAACCCTCCTAGCCCTAGCGAGGATGAAGGTGGTGCATGGATTTCCCATACCACACCATCCGTAACTTTCAGTGGACGAGTATCAGCCCGTGAGCGAAGATGTTGCCAGTGATGGCGTTCCCGAGTGGAACGATCTCATGTGAGATCCGCATGTAACACAAGGTGACCTAAGAATCTCCTCAGCGTCCCTCGATTCGACACAGCGTCCTCAAGCCCCAGCTATCACGGCCGTAACCAGAGCTACTGCGGTGAGTACACCTGCCTGCTACGCTCATAGAGCCCCTCTCAGCTGGGGATTCCTTTGACGGGTCCACTCGTGCTGAAAGCCCTCGAGATCCGTCCACGACTGCTAACGACAAGCGTCGACTAAGGGTATTCAAATCATCACCATCATAGCCTCTATCTCGAGTAGCAGAGTCTAGTCCGAGAGTTCACAGCGAGGGCAATGCGCGGCGTTGACTGCTGGCAGGTGGACCTCCACAGTGGGGCTTTCCACAACGCCATGTAAGCCTCTCCGACTTAATAACACAGTGGCTTCTGATTCAAGACGACCATCTTTCCAGGTACCAACTCGATAGAGACCTCAGACGGTTCATCCTTGCTACAGATCAACCTGTACGCGCATGCCCACAGGTGACAGGTCCACATGATCATCATCTACCGGGTAGATTCTACCCCCTATTGTAGGTATCTTGTGATGTTGCCGACATAGTAGACATCCTCAGGGCCGAGGAGTCTCTTGTCACCCTAGTAGGTTATTCCCTCTTCTGCCCCTCATCCTTCCCCCTTCACAGGAGTACCCGGCCCTTCAAGATGCCCTCCCGCCCTCCGACATGAGCCGTTTGATCCTCCTCCAGGTAGCCCCCCAACCGACCCTAAAGGTTCCTCTCTTGCCCCTAGGTATACCATCACGGCCTCGAGGACATCGAAACAGTGGGTCTACTAGAATCATCTCAGCAGGCCCGAGAGACCTTCCTTGCTGCCCTCAACATCCTACAGTAAACCCAACCTCATCGGAGACCCGTCCAACTATCCGTTCAGAATCTACGCCCAAGCTGCCGCCGCCGGCTCTGATTGATGCTCCCATGCTGTTACTCAATGCCACGTTTCGTATCCTCTTTTTATTGCGTTGTCGAGCATATTGACAACCGAGTGAAAACATTGTGCTATTCGAAGTTGTATAGCCGCCGCTGTACTCTGAACTCACACACACGGGTTCTGAATTTGGACCGATGAGCGATCACTCAAGCTGAGACAGTGTGGGACTGACCCTATGATGGTTTATAACTCAATTGACGTTCATGTGAAGTTCGTCTACAGTTTGGGAAGTGTAGGTGTCAACTACGCCTTGGTGTCGTTGTCGAACTTTGGACTCAAACGGTGTGTGAAGCGGACTCATCCGTGCGATTCTCGAATCATCTGCCAGAATTGCGTCACCCACGCGCGATGTCCTCGTGAGTTGCACTCTGCGAGATTGGTACCGCGTTTTTATAGACGAAATTAATGTCACTATTTGAAGCGCTGATTTTTTAGATGATTTTTTTGAAGATGATTTTTTATATGACGATCATGTCACACCCGACTCGGGTTTATACCAAGGGCATTTACTTGGAGCTCGGGTGACCCAAGCTCGAAGTAGATGCCCTTGGTGTTAAAACAGTGGCCTAGGGGATGTAAGCCGAAGACACTTCTGAATAATACAGATGATATAGCCGAGCAGACCTGTCGTTCTATCACTTATTAATCGCTACTATGTACATCAGCAAAGTGTCCAATGGAGTATATCAATGCAATCCTACCTTGGGCGCTCCATATTCAAGGTTTGATATCGAGCGAAAGCGGAGAACTCTAGTCCGCGGACACAACGGCCATATTCGTTTAATTGGTTTCTCTGTTGTATAGGTACCATAGACCCGGAATGTATTTATATACACACTTACTAGTTCGATCGATACGAACTACACACAACTTCATCACCTTTCCGTTACAACAACAATAACGCCCCGCGTTTAGCACTCAGGTTGCCACTGTGATTTACAGAGTCTTTCCAACCACCCCTCCCCAACTGTTGAACTCAAAGACACTCCCCCGGGTTAACCTCTGATTACTCAACAAAGGCGAGGTTATCTCGCCCTGTGGACAAAACTCATTGGCATGATGAAAGTAGACATTTAAAAGGCTAAAACTGATCCCTCGTGAGCCAATGTGCATCGATGCGAGTCTAACTCAGCCGTGTTGTCGTAGTAGGCGTTGGACTTTAAACTCACACACATTCAACAAAGGCAGGGTACACCCTTGACAGCATCATCGATCGTTGTCGGTGGGAAAACTCAAACTCGCGGCAGAAACCAACTTTGGTTCCACAAAGAACCTTCTCCGCCTCTCTATCTACCACCAAACTATAGTACGCAACACTGTTGGAAAATGCCGCAATACGGAGCGCAAGACAATCTCATCTGCCGGGTGGCCACTGGGCACGATATGAATCTTTCAACCCAACACTCCCACCTCGGTGACATCAGTTAGCGGTTAGCACGCATGCACAACAATAATAATATCATCAACTTTCATTCCTTGACATGATGAAGGCGACCCCCCACCTTTATGTCCCCATCGGCGGTAGCATACCCCCAAGATGATCCTTCCAGCCCTCCTCCATCGGCGTCCCATGCTTCCGACCATGGCCCCCCTCAGGAGCACCCTCTACTGCGGTCCACCCCACAATATGGTCTTCCTCCGTCGGACCAACATGTTCCCTTCCCCTTCCCCTCTCCTCCTCAACAGTAGTAGTGCCTCCTTCCACGTGGTCCCTTACAAAGTCCGCCTCGCGATCTGGCCCCCTTCTCCCCTGGGGGCGTGGGTCCTCCATCCCCTCCCCAGCGACCAGCATATGGTCCTTACTCCAGGCCTCATACTCTCCCCTATGGGCCCTTCCCCTGGGCTGATCCTCGACAGCTGACGAACCCTCACCAACAGTCCCAGCTTGAATATGGTCCGCCCAGCCCTCAGTGATCGCATCAGCGTGCTTCATGCCATGGACAACATCATCAACATTCCCAACTCCATCGTTTTCGAAATGGTCCCTCCAGCCCTCCTCCTCAGGAGACCCCAACCGCCTCCCCCAAGGCCCAGGGTCCTGTACACTAGTATTACCAAAGATGTGGTCCCTCCAGCCTTCCACCGACGGTCGGGCGTGTCTCTTCCCCTCCTTAAACACATCAACACCCCTCTTTTTCACCACCTAAAATAGTGACAAGTCTGGGTAAGCACTTGGAGCAAGCGGTCGAATGTCTCACCTCCCCACGTACATGGTCTGTAGGCTGCTGCCACGACCACTCGAAACACCTCTCGAGATCATCGCCAGCATAAGGCGGCCCTTCCTCTGTACTTGATGACGGACACTTCGCCTTAGGGCCCTAACGTACATGAAATTCCCGCGCGCCACGAAATTACCTCCCCAGCTACCGGCAGCAGCCCCGACTGCACCCTACATGGCTGAGGCTTATCGTAGATCGTCCTAGGGCACCCGAAATCCGCTGGCTCTTGGCCGGACACCTCGCACTGTACTCCAATGATCCACCTACACAAAACACCTCCTTAAGGGCCCTCCAGCAGAGGCCCTACTTCAACATAGTGTCGGTCTGCCGGGGAATCCTTGGGCAGGAAAAAGAAGGGCCAAGCCGATCCCTAAGGTCTCGACACCTCTGCAGCAACGCCGAACTAGTGAGACCCTCCAGCTGGTCGTACCTACAAATCTCCGATAAGTTCAAGAAATTATGGTATTCTCAGGAACACCAAACCCACCCAACTCACGTCCATAAGTGTACATCACGGCCGTTCAAATTCACCTCAGTGACTGGCGTCTGCCGACTCCTACCACTCGGGACCATGAATGACAAAAACTTCAAGTCAGTGGCAGCCCCTACCCCCCTCCCCAAACACCACTCCAAGGCTCTACGTCAGGAAGAATGTCTTTGGATAGATACAATACGTCGATTATAGGGGGAATGGGAACTACTCAACTGACGGTGAACAACAAGACCTGCCCTCGAGAGTTGCCCATAGCCAACCAGTCGTCCTTAGCCGCCATAGATTCAACTCTACCCAAGTTACTGATGCGTGTAGGCCAGTTGGAATAGGTCTGCCCAGTGGTAGCATTGGTGGCTCGAACGGCCGAGTTCTTAGCATTGGTCCCTCCGAAGAGGACCTCCCCTCGTAGTGAGCATACCGTAGTAAGAGGGTTCACCAAAGACTCACACACCGTCCTGAAGTCCCCAAGACTGCCATCGCCCTTCAAATCAACCACATCCAAAGTGCCACTAGACGTGCCTAAGGCCAACCCATGGTCGAACATAGCCCCACACGTAATAGAGACCGCGAGGTCATCATGAGCTTTCGCGACGCATCGTCTGCTTCCTACGTCCCACAGGTACACGTTCGCCCTAGTGTCAGCACAGACCAGATGCTCCCTGTCTTGGTCCCAGGCCACGACACTGGCGGGGGCTCCCAGTTGGAACTTAGCTGCTAGCTTACGGCTCCTGGTGTCGGTGACGAGGACCTCCCCTCCTTGAGTGGCCATCGCGAAGGACTTGTCGTTGCCCAATGCTGAGATGCTCCACAATTTCCTGTCTTTCCTATTCGTACCACACGCTCCCTTCATCGCGGTCACAGACTGCTGATTCAGGTCGAATAAGCAAACGGTGCCTTGCGGGCCCACGGCGGCCACTTCATGGGAGTTCAGGAATGCCGTTGACTCGATCTGGAAGTCCTTCAACTTAGCCGCATAAACTTCTTTGTTATTCTTACCATCGACCTTGTTGAGTCGGAAGGAATCACCATTACGATGGGCTGATAACAGCAGGTCCTCCCTGGGATGCCAAGCCAGGACCGTCACAGGGCTATACCCGGCCGGCCCTCGACCAGCAGAGACATTGGCGACCCGTCTGATCGCCAGCTTGGACGGGTCCGCGGCCTTATTGAGACTAGGGATGAACTCATCTTCAGAGTCAACCGTCTCCTCCTCCTCTCCAGCCTTGGTCTCTGCCCAGTTCTGTCGGCCACTCATTTGAGTAAATCTGTCTCGAAGTCTGGACTCGTATTCCCGGACGGAAATCTTCTTCTCATCGCGACTAGAGCGGAGCTTCTTGAGACGATTGTGGCTGGTCAGGTCCACCTCAGCCGTCGAGGTGGACGCGTCGTCATCCTCATCCACCTAGAACAGGAGTACCCCGACCAACTACAGAGGAGGGCCTACCCAAGCAGGCTTAGGCATAGCAGCAGTGTCGGTCTTGCTATCCTCAGGCCTGAGACACAGAAAAGGGAGTTCATACGACCATTCGTCGTCATTTTTCGCCACAAAATCGACCACGCTGGAAGCCAGCAGCCAGAGACGGTCAGGGTAAAGATCCAAACGACAATCGAGTCCTTGATCGGCCGATATGGGCGATAGTGTCCGACCCTCACTACCTTTCCCTTTTCGACATGGTGCAGTTGTAATCGATTGGATGGGCGCGCGCTATTCACTAGGGAAGGGAACTGAACGCAAGCGCAGCATCGATTGAAACTCTTTTTATAACGAGTAAGTGCAGAGACACGTTCATCGACTCGAAAGGTGCTGGTTTCACGCCATCTGCTGGGGCCGTATGCGGATCCTGATGCAACAGGTGAGTCAGAGTATTTACTCAGATGAAAAAATCAGATGAAAAAATCAGATGGTGAGTATTAACCCCTGATTCACTGATTTTTTACTCTGGAGCGAGAAATCAGGATCATCGCGAGGACATGTGGATCTCTGGGCTGATTCGAGAATCTAAAGTTGATTTTTTGGCTGATTAATACTCTTACTCAATATGCCTTGCTCATGAGGCTGATTTTTCGGGTGATTCCATTGAATCTGAGTATTTTCGAGAATCAGGGAATCGGAGTTTGAATTAGACATTTTTGACAAGACGAAGATTATAGTCGCTACGCCCCACAACCGAAAGTGACAATTTCAAGAAAGGAAGGAAACGTCACTCTACGAGGGTAGAACCTGGTAGATTCGTCCCGAATGCATGCACATTTCCCGTTACGTTACAGCAATGATAAAATTTCGGAAGAAGATCTTTTGTCGCACTTGTACACATCCGTACTTCAAACTTTTCAATATGTTCACTCGGAATCAACTAACTCTGGGGTTCTAACGCAGAAGTTTTAAGAGGAAGCTCAGCGCGAGAGCTTCCATCTAGAGCTTCTAGAGCTTCCTTCTAGAGCTTCTAGAGCTTCCTTTGAGAACCGGTAGCGTGATCGGGTGTCGTTATCGGACAATCCCGCAAGAGGATCGACGAAGGGCATTTACTGTTTTTATGAACAATTAATCGAATTACGGAATGCGTAGTTCACACCGTGTGGTTGCATGTACTACATGAACTATACCTCCATACACCGTTTTGTATCGTATGACCTCATAGCTGAACTGGTTAAGGTGAAATTTTCATGTGCTTGAAGCCGGGGTTCTATTCCCGGGCAGTGTTATACTGATACCCTGCATGTACTACGTGAGCTATACCTCCTTGCACCGTCTTGTAACTTATAATCTCGCAGCTCAACTGGTTAAGGGTATGCTTTCCCTTGGTCGAAGCCGAGGTTCTATCCCCCGGTACGGTCATTCTAAGAACCTACTCGGCGAGTAGTACTCGCGAGTAGCTGAGAAGGTCTACCGTGGCGCGCGCTGCAGTCGTGAATCAAGGTCGAGAATCAGAATCAGGGTTTGGTACCGGGGATCCGGACCCCTGGTACAGAATCAAGATTAATCCCCGTGTTAAACTGCGAGCTTGTGCATCATGAGTATGATTCCGGATCATGCTCAAGGTGAGATTGCGATCTTGAATCTGAGCAGCTTTGAGGTTGAGTAAAGGAATCTCGACTCGTGAGAATTAATCTCGAATCACGAGTAAAAATCCCAACTCTGAGTATTTAATCTCGAGTTTATGAAATACTCTGACTCAGTACCAAAAACTCTGAATCAGCCATTGAGTATAGATTTGAATCTTGAATCGTGATTAAGGATCAGGAATCGGATTCAGCGGCTGATTAAAATCAAGGATCAAGGATCTTGCTCATGATTACGAAAATCTGACTCTGTCTCAAGTACTCATACTCAGAAATCTCGACTCTTTCTCCTGAGCTAAGAATCTGAATCAGTTCTCTCGAATCAAGGTGTGACTTGAATCATGAATCAGGATCAGAGCGTGAGTTGAATTATGGACTCAGATTCATGAATCAGGATCCGCATACGGCCCCTGATCGGAGGTCTTGAACGGTTTCGAGCGCAGCCTTGACGTAGTGAAGAATACAAAGCATACATCAAATTACGGTCGGGGGGGGCACTTGCGTCTATGCATGCAGTGCCGTGGTCTGTATTTTCGGTTATTCGAGGCCCTACTACTCTAGGAGTAATCATGTGGCTACTAAGGGGCACATGGGCCTTCCTGGGAAGCCAGTGAACCTGGGCTTCAGGGCGAACGCCCGATTTGCCTACCACTGTGTACTGTATGCCAGCAAGTCACAGCTGATTGCACGACAACCCGGTATAAAGTAAAAGTAACGCCGTCTGGGGCCTTCTCTTCAGCCGCGTCGAACGTCCCATACAGCGGGACCACAGTTGCCCTTAATGTGAATCTGTGAGACAGGGTCGAGGGGGCCCTTCCAAATTGCATTGGCTGCCCGTGCCACCTCCCCGCTGGCCCACAACGACGCGCAGTAGAAGAAGTGATTGTCAGACGTGCCCAATAGTGCCCTCTGACCACCATTCCGTGGGCAATCTCAGCATGGTCCTTGTGCTTATCGTAGTCGCCGATGAGATATCTACACGGGCCGCCAAATCGCCACCCCGGTCATTGACAATCATATCGCTATATCCCGTGACCGATGTAAGGGTCACCCTCTCCGCAAGTTCGGCTAAGAGCAGGGTAATCTGCTCTGTCCCACTTCGAGGACGCCGAATGACGACAGGGCCTTGTGTTGTGGCACGTTGGTCCGTGAGCTTTTCGCGTGCTCAGACTGCCGAACGCTACTCGCCATCGTATAAACAAGCAAAGTGAATACTTGAGCCAATTGGCTACGGAGTGTACATGTAGTCACTGAATTAGCAATAATACTCAATACCCAATAAATAACGAATCATCACGGCGTCGGAGCGTTTCTCCAGGGCGAGCGAGTAGACTATCACGGCTGGTCATCAGGCGTGACATTGAGCACCGTTTGAGAGTCCGTGAAGATCTGGCAGCTTCCGCAAGGTCTGTCGACACTTCCGTTATATAGCCAACTGCCCGGATAACACCGGGCAATTCACATTTCCTAATAGTAGCCTTCAACACGTGTAGATTTGATTGATAGTTTCCATCACCACGTTCCATGAAATATACTTTTCTTCGAACTTACTTTGTTGTGTACAAACTTAATACACGTCGCTCTAAACAAACATTCATTTCCCCACTGGGGCTCCTTAATTACTCGAATGATCATTTTCTAATTCGCTTCTAACCACGAACTACTAATTGCTGCAGGCCTACCCAACTTTAACCCTCATACATCTTGAAACACAGGTAACGAACAAAGTCTCACATTGATTACACTCCTAACACTTGCATCATGGAACCCTCAAGACCATGAGTTACATCCGAATTGAGGGATGTCCAACATGGAAAATATTTACTATGCGGAGTATAGCGTGCAAACGTCGCTCGTGGAGTACAACATCTATCTAGTGTGGAGTATGAAAGTATTTACTATTCACTACTATAATGAAATACGTCGCTATCACCACATAATCACCGACCTGATCACCCACAGTAGAACACAAGACATGGGTCAATTGTAACTGCTCATTAATCACATCTCAGGTACTAGACCGAGATAGGTACGTACGACAGAAGCAGATTACATAATGTTTGCTGCAACGCAATACTTGACAAAATTTACAGGCCGGCGGCCTTCTTCTCACGCTCGTAACGTTTCTTATCATCAGCGGCTAACTTCTCATACGGCGCCTTCTCCTTCTCCCCCAACTACGCGGAGATAACCATCACAGGCGGACCCAACAAGCTTCAACCTACTGCCTTCCAGGCCTCTCCCATCTTCCTCCCGAGCTCGCCAATATCCTTACTCTGGAGGCCGGTCTCTTTCATTATCCTCTCCCTATTCTTCTGCATGAAGAAAAAGTATCTGAGGTTGAAAGCGATCTCAAACGGAGTAGTATAGAACACTCGCCTTACGCGCTCAGACCTCTCTTGATCTTCGGTTTGCCATCGTCCTTCTTACTCTTGGACGCCTTCTTCACCTTAGTTGGTGTTGACTTCTTAGGGGAAGTCTTATTCGCGGCAACCATAAGTTCAAAAGCGAACTAAGCACTAAGAAGAAGTAACCATTGTCAACACCAATAAACAAACACCTTGCGAGATCAGTAACTGCCTTCGAATTAGAGACGTGAAGTGATGGGAACCACTACGGGTTACTCCACTGGAGCTACGTTATCATCTAGGCACGTTACTAGACTATGCATGCACCGTTTTATACACCAACAGCTGCCTTCTCGCGTTCATAACGCTGCTTATCTTCATCGGCCATCTTGTTGTAGGGAGTCTTCTCTGCCTCACTCATCTGATAACAACTACTCGACGAAGACAGGAGCATTCTAGACGTACCCCCTTCCACATCTCGCCAGTCTTCTTAGCGATGTCGCCGATGTCTTTAGGCTGCAGGCCGTTCTCCTCCATGATCTTCTGACGGTTCTTCTGCATGAAGATGAAGTACCTGATACCACACCGATAACACATCTCCTCCACAGTAACTCGACTTACGCGCTCAAGGCACGCTTAACCTTAGGCTTGCCATCGTCCTTCTTGCCCTTAGTCGTTTTCTTTACCTTCACTGGGGAAGCACCAGCTTTCGTGGACTTCTTAATAGCAGCCATATGAGAACCAAAAGCCTAAGTAGCAATACTAAGTTGATCTGCTTCTCCTTCAAGGCGAGCCACGACTACCACAATGAAACGGGTAGAGGAACGCCAAGATGGTCCCTTCTTGCACTCTTGCTTTGCACGACAGCGCATATTCAAACGCGCGCGCCCGAAATTCGGTCGTGATAATGGACAGAAAATGGACAAACCCGACATACCAGAATTGCTACTGGCCGACTCAGCTCGAACCAGCAGCTCTACTGGAGTGAGGGTGACCAGCACTCGAGGGCGTCGGAGAAGGCAGACCCTAGATAGGGTCGAGGCAGAACTGTGCCAGTAGGGCTCTCTGGGGTCATCCACTTTAACGGCGATCAATGCTCAGACGCTTCAAAGCAGAGAACCTCTCGAAAAGCGATGATCATCTAGCCAAGCTTATAGCACGAAAACTCACTTACCACGACGAAGGCTGTGTTACACAACGCCACGACAACGCAGGTGAAATCCACGGGAAAATGCTCTTTTCCCGCGGTGTTATTATGAATAATGATATGTATCAAATTGAAGATACTAGTTATAAACTAAAGGAAGCTGAGGGTCTCATCGGACTTTTGCAAGATGAGTTAGCTGCAGTTAAACGTGCACACAGTGAAGTGGCGGAGGAGGCAAAGTAAGGGAGGCGTACGTACGCACATGGTCAACTACATGAGTCGGTGACAATATGAAGATTCGGGGAATTATTATTGGTTTCTGTACACTTCCATTCTAGTTCGTATACTAGTGAGGAAGCTCCCGAGCTCAGCTGAGGAAAGCGAACCAATGTTTTTGAACTCAGACACTGGCGTGAGGAAACTGAGAACCTCAAGTGTGCATTGCGAGATATACGCAGAGACAATGAGCGGGTGAGCACATACGGCAAGAAGGGCAATACTTGGTGGTGGTCATGACAGTTGACGGCTGAGAGAGACCATGCGATATGTCAAGAATATGAAGCTAAGAAGGCCTCAGACGACCTCAAGAAGACCGAGACTACAGGGTAACGATAACGTGCTTATTCTCACCTCCATCACTATTTCCACTACTGCTGCTATCACTATCACCATCAGCACTATGTCCACACTCTGTAAACTCGTCGAGCTACCAGTGCCACTATCGCTACCCTTACTACTGCTATCACTATTACTAATTGTGTATTACTAATAACTGGAATATACTATTAACCGTTTCTCATTTTGACTGCAAATGTATATGTACGATTGTTGTTGTTCATCTTGTGTGTTCTCTCACTGGTAGAGAATACTCAATAGTAACCTATCAACTTCATTTATATGATCCATATATCTACTACTAGTATATATACTACTTCTACTAGTACTACTACTACTACTACTACTACTACTACTACTAGCTGCAAATGCCACTATTACTATCATAACAACATCACCAACAACAACAACAACACTGCTACTGTTACTATAGATATCGAGACCTGCTGGCAACCCATGAGAGAACAATAAAGAATCACCAGCAAGCTTGTATTGAGTTAGAAAAAATGAAGAGTGAAAACAAGTACGTCCATCTCTTACCCTAACCCGATGGATTCCCTCAGACGCATTATCGACGATCTCGTTAAGTGTAAAACACAGCTCGCGTCCTTTAGGGAAAAGCGAGATGATGAAGGTAAGGAGTAAAAGGGAATATTAATACATGTTTATAAATAATGGTGATTTAATGCTATCTAGTATTAATATGATGAAAAATTTATAAAGATATGATGTAGCTTTACGTGAAATGGCGTAACACTCTGTGAAAACGCCCGATATTCGCGGTGATATGCAGTGATTTGCGAAATAAGTTTGTCACTACAGCATTTCCAGGTTGATTTAGTATTTGAATATTAATGTACTTATTTGCGTTTTCATATCACGGGTGAAACTCCAATGATAGCAGTTTACAGTATTAGTTGTAAATTTCCTCGAGAGAGTTGCCGATCATCGCCAGCGTCGTTCAGATTCAAGTGCGATCACTTGCCAAGAGCCTTCCGCCAGCAAATGTCGAAGGTAAGGTGAATCGCCAGTGTGGAATAATAATATGCCCATGGTCATCTATGTGTTGATTACAATAGGAAATACGGGAAATTTTCTTGGTCTCTGAACACTTCTACTCTAGTTCGTACGGAAACTCCCGAGCTCAGCTCAGGAAAGAGAACATATATTCCTCCAACACTGTGAATCTACTATGTCTTTCCCCCAGGAATTCAGCCGATAAGAAAGCACCGTTGACCGCGAGGACCTGGGGGGCTTTCAAGAAAGTAAGTTTCCTTGCTTTTCGATTGGATTCGCCATGAAATTGCAGGCGCTGGGTCAGCACTCTAGGTCGTCACTTCCTCCTCCTCCTCATGCAGGCGTACCGTGCTACTATAGCGACCCTCACGGCAGCAACGAGACAATCCGTGACCGTCGTAGCATCGATGCTTCTTGAATGTTCCTTGAAGGAAATTCATTGCTTTAATTACGGACGGACGATTCCTCCTTCTCGTCGTCGTCCCCTTATACGCCCGGCTGCATGAAAAGTGTCTTAGCAAAATGTTGTCATTCTTATACTATTGTGTTGTTGGAGGTCGTCAATCGAGAATTGCGCGAGGAGTGGTATGAGAAACTCTGCACGTCTTCCATCTTTCTTCATTCCCACTGTATCAACTAAACTCAACAATCGTTCTCTTTATAAGGATAATAATATGTTATTATACAAATTTACACTAGTTTATTTGATAATCTCATCTCTATTTTCAAAGTAAAATTGACCTTCCGACTTCTTAACAAAAACAGCACATACGAGAAGCCCAATAATCACCCAAGAGCACTTGTAGTTAGTAAGGTACAGTAAGTCCAGTATCAACACTCACTAGGAACATTGATGAATCAACTCATATATCACCCATACGCTAGGGCGACGGGTATTATCAAAGTCTGGTCACTATCGCTGTGGATGTAGAGCGGGCGGGTATTCAGCAAGAAGCAGCACCGCACCAAGAGGTCATTGATGCCGTCTAGTTTCGAGATATCACATCCCCAACCCCATCAGCAGCATCCATGAAAGCTCTCTTATACTGATGCGATGCATACACAGCATCGCCCACAATTTCATACCATCTTTCTGTCAAATCCTGCATACTATCTACACTCAGCTAACAACCCAACAACAGCATTCCAGAAAAAAAACATCTTCAAGAGCTCTCAGAAACAATACGTCGTAGTATTATTATGAAAATTTTTAATACCGTGCCCGGACCTTCCCAGGTGGCGGTTGTTCCATCGCTCGCGCATCCAAAAATTCTTCACTCAACTCCTCAAGACTTCGGCAACCCAACAGCCGCATATTAACGAGTATCTCCTCCTTCAACAGAGCTGCCAGCCGGACCATGCCCGCCTCCCCAAAGGCCGCCATAGCTGTCATGAAGGGCCGCCCAATACCAACCGCGCTCGCCCCGAGAGCAATACACTTGATGATATCGGTACCACGCCTCACACCACCATCCACGAACACTGAGAATTCCGGATCGATACGACCGCGCCAACCAGCCTGACACAGAAGAAAAGTCGTCCTGCAGAGAAAAATTTTTCCTAACACAGACATACCATAATTCGATAAGATATTGATCAATCTTTGATAATCAAAGTTTGATTTGAGTGGAGTAAACCCATTCTCATCAAATTCCATGTTCAGCGCGAGATCAATTACAACCGCTGGGATTCCCCACCGAATGCTGCGGAAAAAAAGACCCCACTTATTGAATTTCGTGGCGAGTGACAATATTGAGCCTTTGAAACTCTCGACGAGCTCATTATTTGATACTCACACACGCCGAGAAAATATCAGAAAAATCAGTCAGTGATTTCTTACTATATACATACTAGTGCCTCCAGTGTCGTTCCAGAAGGCGAACAACTGTAAACTCTCAAGTGCCTTTATTATTTCTCCCACGGATCGACTACCCCTGTAATACTCCCCTCACCTTCTTGAGAGCACGCGTGCACTCATACAGCATCTGCACGCCGCTTTTCACAGTATCGACCTGTCGTGCTCCATGGTTCGATACCACAATTCCGCGAATTCCCAACTGATTCCGTTCACCATATGCCCGTACAGCGTCAACAGCTAAACCACAAGCATTCCAATACGCCCTATATTTCAACCACTTACGTGAGTGAATTCCCTTCAAGAAAACGTCCATCCTCCTCCCACGAGCATCCGCCTTGTCCTTCACTATTGCCGTAATTCTCGACAGATTTTCCCAACACAATGAATGCGATATAAACGAACTGATCGCCCGAGCCACCCCAGCAGTCTCCTTTTTAGCATCGCCTGC